CTGATTCTGAGGAAACATATCGGTGAAGATTACCAACTTTTTGCCCAGCTTATCTGCTTTACTATTTATTTTCTGGACAGACCCACCTATGGAACTAGTTTACGTTTGTCTCTAACATACTAAGTGTTTAGGGATCAGTGCTTCTATGTTCTTTTTATGTCTCCAGGCCAGCTAAAAGTCTTGACTGAGCCCGGAAAAAAAATAAATAAATTGACGACTGGGGGCCTGTCAATTCATATTTTGTATAGCCCTGATTGATCAATCTTTGAATGAGGGTTAGGGTTAGGGTCTTGGCTAAAATTTTACGTTTTTCAAATAACCTTTTCTGGAAGCAAAAATATTTAATAAATACGTGAAAAATATTTGATTATTTTTTTTATTAAGGATTTAAAAAAAAAACTCTATTTATTTATTTAATGCATGCATTTAAAGAAATCATTTAAATGTTTACATTTAGAAATAGAGATCTTTCCAATTTTTTATTTATGAAATATGCAGCACATTTGGCTTTCCCTACACATTTGATCCCATTTATAGATTTCTACATTTGTCATGTTAAAATTGGACCACAAAATGTTCTGATCGAAATCTTTCTTAAGCAGTTAAGGTTTCACAGAAGGATTGTCTATTTATTCACTTCCACCACAGCATTGTTGCAGCTGTGGATGTGCCATATAGTCATATCAGACAAATTAAAAACTTCTCAACCTGTTAACAAAACCCATTGGTTCAGTCTTAATTATAACTTTATCTAGCAAAGATAGGGAACACACCCTTGACAGAATCTGCAGAGTTTTTTTGCACCACCAGAGTGCTTAGAAGCTATTACCGCCTTCTCAGGCTTTTGCAGGTGAGGTCGATCTAAAGTTTTATTCTATCTAAAGCTGTTCCTCTGGCTTGATGTGGCTTCTTTAGGTTAGAGCCGCTGTACCCTTCATGTTAAAGGGATGGAGCTGCTGCCTGACCGTGTACGGTGGGGAAGATACAGGTTCTGTATTTTCCTGTCTCCACCTGCAGCACAGCCAATCTTATGTATAGCAGCTTGACAAACTTCAGAGAAACTGTGTCAGAGGCATAACCAGTTGGAAGGAATGGCTGGTGGGGGTACATCCCAATACTCCAATGGATCATAGGAAAGAATTTTATGAAACTTAAGAATAAAGATCCAATTCCTTGCAAACATCTTTAAAAAAAAAATTAATATTTGTGGGAAAAGATTCAAGGCCCCCCCCTAATGTGGGCCCAGGATAACTACCGTAACCTGGTTGTTCCCCCCTGTCGGAGGGCGTGTATGTCTCCACTCTCTCTTTGAACACCAGTCTGCATCAGCAGAAGGCTGCTCACCCAGAGCCCACTTCCTGTTTCAAATTGAGTTTTCCCTCTCTGCTGTCGGTGCGAGTGATTGCTGCAGAGTTAATGATACAATGCAAGCAAATGTCTGCTGCCACTACTGGCTCATCTAGTTCTTCAAAGTCAGTGATTCAAAGCAGTCAGCTAGGTTTCCATATATAGAAAACCTTGAACCAATCTGTCTGTGTGGTTTGATTAGATCGACTGTGAAGTGCCTTGTGTTACGAATTACAGTATTATATGTATTAATATACATTTGACACCACTGACAGATTGGAAAGCAATATATATTATTGATATTTGTGTGTTTCTAAATTTTCTCTCAGGGTGTGAATGCCAGTTTGCAGACTATTGCATTCAGTGATGGAGCAAACTACCCAGCTCTTCGTCCGAACAGCTTGGATCAACTGAAGGAGAGCGAGCAGAACTGACCATCTCTAAGTCATGAACTCATTCCATTTGTCTGGACTTTGTTGGGACAGGTGTTTATGCCTTTGCTCATTGGAAAGCCTGCAGGGCCAACCTTGAGGGGATCTTATGGAAAACTCCATGGTTGAGTGTGTCTGGGTGTGCGCATATGCAGCATATAAACATAAAGTTAATCAAAATGGTAGTAAGTCAGTCTTGAAAACACCTTTTTCATTGCAGACTTTGGTGTTCTTTGCCAGGGTATGTATTTAATTTTATTTTTCTGTATTTCAATGGGTATTTTTTAGTGACTATAACCGGTCCTAATCAGCCATTTCTAAATTGAGTCTCCCTCAGAGGCAGTATATAAAATTCCCATGCTACAACCACAGCCTGATGTTGCACCAATTTGGAGTAACTATAACCTGCAGATTAAGTCTCAGATCAGATCTATATGTGCATTTCCTACAGATTAGCAAAAAATGTGTGTTTTCCTTTCCATGGACTATTTTATCCCACCTACTGTGTTATCTGGAATAAGCACATCTGGAAACTCTCCCGACATATGTTGTGTAATCAAGTCGGCTGAGGAAAAAGGGAACAAAGATTAAAATGAGGTCTGTCTGTCACTGTCACCTTAAATGTTAATAATTAATGTTGGATCATAACAGTTTGTATATGTATGTCGTGTACTGAAAAAAAATAAGAATAAAACTGAAATGACATTGCAATGGTTATTGCCTAACTTCTTGTTTTTTTCCTTATGTTTAAATATGAATTGTCTTTTCAAATCACATTTTTAAGGCAGCATCTCTGCTATCTGGAACTAATTGGTATCTATTACTAAATTGAAATAAACATTTGTGTATATAATTTGGATTTAAGGGACCGTATTAAACACTGGACCACTTTTTACATTCAACACATGAAAATCCTTTGATCTAAACCATTTTATCATGGCTCTGGTCACATGATTAATGTATGTAAACTCTAGCAGGTTTACATAGCCTGTGCTTATGTCTATCCATCCATCTATCCTTTGGTCAAAGCTTACCAGCTTTCCTGCCTCTGAGGAATACTTCTCTACCACCACCCCGTTAGTTTTTACAGTTTCATGTTGGCCTTATCTGACCATAGAAAAATTCTTTCACATGTTGTGTCCCCTAAATAGCTCATAGAAAATTGCAAGTGAGATTTCTTGCTTGAATCAAAGACTTAATGTCGAGAAAGTTTTCTTTTTTAATCTCTTTCTAAGGGACAGATATGTAGTGTGCATGAAGAATAGATGTTGTCTTTCTTTCACCTGAGCTGTAGATTGCTGCATCTCCTCCAGAGTTAGCCTTTTATATGTCTGTCGTTTTTTTTTTTTAAAGATATGGAATGAACAAAATGTCAGATGCTCAAAGCTTGGGATTTTATGGGCGGCTAAACATACGTAGACCATGAAGTAAGGGTTTGTCCCATAACTGGTGGGTTCCCAGTTTGAGCCCTTTCTCTGTTAGTCTCAGTTGTTGTATTCTTGGGCCATACACTTACCTGCTGTTGGTGGCCGATTGTACCTCAGCCTTGTTTCTGTCACTGTGCACCAGGGCAGCCTTAGCTTACCCCCATTACAGTATGAATGTGTGGGTGAATGTCTGGTGAAGTGCTTTTGAGTTGCAGGCCATTCACCATTTTGTTTTAGGCAACTACCCCTTAACTGTCTGTGCTGTGTCTGGATGGGAAGTTTGATCACTGATTTTCTCTAATGAAAAGTTGCATTTAAACATACAATGAATCACACACAGGTGGATTCTGATTTATAATTAGTGAACATTTTTAGAGCAATCTTGTGGACTGGATTTTATTTATGAATATTGTAGAAAATGGGACTGAAAAGATGCATGGGCAACAGATTTGTAAAGAAACTCATTAATCTTTTTTCATTTTGATAAATAATTTTGCTCAATTGCATTGGTCTATCGGGTACAAAGAATAAACTGAAGGTTTTAGTTTTAATGTGAGTTCATGTGATTACATTAAAGCTGAATTAATATTTTATACAAGGCACTGTGGTTGTTCAAAAATGTTTAGCCTTTTTTCCCCATGTTCCTTCATGTCTATGTATTTTCAATATTTTTTTTACCAAAAAAAAAAAAAAATTTATTGGTTTTTTGAACTTACGCCCAGTATTTTTTATATTATGTGTTTCTTCAACTAAGTCTGAATTGGTTTATTTGATTTAATTTCTTCAGAAACAAGACTATCTTTTCTAAATTGTGTGCACAGTTAATCTATTGGTTTTCACCGCCCTCTACTGGAAGACATTAGTAATTGTGCAATACGATTTTCAATCATGGACAGCTTGACTAAAGAAAGTAGCAGTGAATAAAGGGGTAGATCAATAAAGTAAAGTTATTTAGTAAAGAGAGCAAAGTAAAAACCCACTTTGCTTAGATGTTGTCATGCTTAACATAAATTTTCAATCATTTCAATCATTTTCATCATTTTCTATTGATTTAAAAAAAATACAAAAACTAAACAGGCCTAAAAGATGTTGCTCTACAGCCCTCCTTTTTGCTCTGAGTGTGTTTGTTATCCAAGCTGTATGTCACATCAAGTCTCAGAGGCTCTTTGCTCATTTACATGTTTTAATGCAAAACAGGCGCTCATTAACTTATAGGTTTGAGACTGTTGACTGACACAGCTTTAATTTTGTGATTAATAATCATTTTTATGCTGTTTTTGTTTCTTTCACAATAGTGTTTCCTCCATATTTGTACCTTCACTCAGGGTGTATACATTTTGTAATCAGTGCTTTTTAAATGCATATTGTCCGTTTAAATTAGATTGTTTACAGCATACATTTACTTTCAGTTCAATGCTTGAACAAAAACAATTAATGCGACAAACATGTGCTTCAGTGACATTCTTGGTCCCTAGAGCCAGTTTGAAGCTGGGAACTGATGGTGATTCCCAGCTGTTTTCCCTCTGAGCTTTTTTTTCATGGGAGCAAAATCAAACCCAGGACTTGCTGGAGAGACTGTATCACTTATGGGCTGCAAATGTTTGATGAACCCATGAGGAGGAAAAACCTTATGCCTGAAGAGAGGGATGTATGGATTTTCTTCCGGGAGCTATTTATCAAGAAAAGGGGTTTAATAAATTAAAAGGTGTTGCAGTAATGTTTAGTGTCATAAAACTCTAAGTTTGACTCTTGATTTTTCTGTTGAAATATGATCAAATAATCGTTCCACATTCTCTGACATTAGCGTATTTTTATTTGTATCCTCTTTTTAATACCGTAAGTAAAGTCTCAATAAATGTGACACCCGTTCTGATTAATAATACATTAGAAATGTTGAGGACAGAAATTCCAAATTATGATTTTAAGATTGCAAAAACAACAAATACAACCAAAAAAAAAAAAAAATAAGACATGCACATTTCAGTAACTTAAATGCAAATTCAGGCATTACTTTGAGATTTGTTTCATTGGTTCTTCCACCGTAAAGCAACCTTAAGAGAATCCTTCAGATAAATGTATCCACTGTGAGCATTGTAGCATGACACAGAGGATCATTTTATTTGTGAAATATAGGACGCCATGCCATTTAAGAAAGTGTGATAATCCTTTTGTCACAATCCAATCGCTGATCATCTAAAATTGCTAATATCTAATTAAGTAGAAAGAATTTTAAACTGGACCAGTTTGCCGGAGAAACAAAGTTTCTTCAGTGACCATCAAGGCCAGACGAGGGTCCAAGTTTTTCATGCCGACTCACAGAGAGAAGAAGGGTGAAAAAAAAAAACATCTCCAAAACTAAATGTTATAGACCTGCAGTAAACAGCACTGTTAGCATCAGGGGCTCAGAAAATCCCCAAAATGGCAGTTTATTTTAAAGGATTGTAAGAAATTCTTTAACAAGGGTAAAATAAATGTAAAGGGTACTGTATTGTGATCTGCATATTCATCTCCATCCTTAAACTCCAAGAAAAACATAAAAAACATATGTTTTTTCAACAGACATTTAATACCATTCAAAATAAAAATGGATCATAATGCTGTGAGAGAAAAAAAAACTTTCACTTCAGTACTTTAGTATTTTTTTTTTTTCTGGGAGGGTGTTTAAAGTGAGTAAAACAATCAACATAACAAATGCATCCCTTCTGTGGAAAAATTATTTAACAAGACAGGCAGGACTGTAGGGAATTAATAACTAATAGTATCACTGATGTATGCATGTTGCTTTTGTTAACAAAACAAAATTACAGGTTTGTGAACAAGAAGCACAAAGAAAAATCTATAAGACAAAAATATTCTTAACAATAACATTAATTACAAAAAATTCTTTTTGGAAATGAACTAATCTGTATTTAAAGGAATCGATCAAATGATATGAGGATGCCATTTCAGAGGCTGTGATATTTATTTATTTATTCTATTGCTGCGCTTGTCATTTAGTTTGCTTTTACCGATAAGATCTCAGTGAGACGACCTGAATGATATATGAATGAAAACAGAGTTGCTATGCTTCTTTCCATCTCTCACATTCTCAAGTTTATCAATTCTTCATTGTTTTTGTTTAATTTAACTAGGGCTGAAACAATAAATCCAATTAATCATGATAAATCGATTATTGAAATAATCGTCACCTAATTTAATAATCGGTTAATCATTAACTGGAGTGTAAAGACTCTAAAATGTGCCTTTAGCTGACAGAGCAACCCAATTAGAGCAGTAATTATACCAATATTGTAAAAATAAATATATTAGACATTTAGCATTTGTGGTGAAAAACTTATTTGTCTGTCAGTAGGATTTATCCTGAACTCCACAAGTGGAAAAATTTTAGTTCCACTTGGCTTAATTTCACTAAAAATCTTCTTTAAGGAGTCTTTGGCTATCCGATTATTAATTGTTCATTCCAAAAATAATAAACAGATGAATGGACTAGCAAAATAATAAGTTGCAGCTCTAAACTTAACTCAGTTCAGTTTTGTTCATCCACATTTCTATTTGGGTAGCATGTCAAGATGCATTTTTACATCATTCACTAGGATTCAAACACAGACCCACCTCCTTCTGAAGGAAATGGAGAGCTGCAACAAATAACCAAAGCTGCTTACAACAGTCATCGCTCCAGATGGACAGGTTTAAAAGTTTCTTTTTTTGAGATGGGGCATTAGCAAACAAACAAAAAAAATGACTCTAGGTACGGAGGTAGAAAAAATGTGACCAAAATAAATAAATAAATAAACACTCGAAATTGTGCTGCCAGACATGTATATCTGAATGTTCTTCTTGTGGCACCGGTGAGCTCAGGATTGTCTCTTACTGGGAAGCGTTATATATTAATAAGGAGTTCTCCTTTTCAGGTCATCAGTTGTCGTGATTGGTTTTCCAAGCAAGGAAACACATACCACACAGATAAACAAGGTGGAAAAGAAGAGACGAAAACTGTCTACCAGTTTGGTTTTCCTTCTGTTCTTGACCAGCTCAAGCTTATGTAGCCAGATAAGATTTGACAAAGCATATTTATCTAAATATGCTGTCACTTAAACATTTAATTTAATCTTCTCCTGTTGTCTTACCAGACTAGAACTTGTTGAGCCACTTTTAACCGTTCAATAGAAGAGGCAAAGCTTGCTCCAAAGGCAGGCATTGCTAGAACCTGATCAAGGTTATTTAATAGAACAATCCAAACCGTTTGCCATAAATCTTATCTGATGGTGCGGGGTGCAGAGGAAAACATCTTTGGCAACTCAGGAAGAACAGACCAACCTTCGGAGGGATGTGAAACTAATTACGAGTCAAACACTGAAATCGGTTCTTGAAGTACAGGAGGCCGTTTTTTGTGCGCGTGGCATCAGAGGAGGGCGGTGGGTAGCGAAACTTGGCGTACGTCTTGTCACTTTCAGATTGCGTGACCCATGGTAGCTTGATCTTCGTTGCGTGATTGATAATGACGTCGTCACAGGAGCCGACGTGGAGAGATCCAAGGCCGTCGATAAAAAACTCTGCAAGATGTCAAAAAAAGGGAACTAAGAAACATGAATCAAATACATAGAATAAATTTATTTAATTCAAAAGAAAGACTAAAAAAAACTGTGAAATGGGGAAAAAAAAGTCAGTATTTTTTACATTGCAAAAAGGCCTAATTTCAGACCTTCTTTTTTGAAGCAACTATGTTCTAGCCTCGTGAGACCATCCTGATCTTGCGAGCTTTCAAGATTTCACTCGCTAATCAGTCTGGAGACTCTCCGTTAAAGAAAATTTGGAGCCGTTCACCAAACGAACGTCCAATCAGCGTTGGCTTTGAGGCGGGTTGAGGTGTGACGCAACGAGAAGCGCGACAGTTCAGTCTAAAGAACGTGGCGGCTTCAGCCGATGAAACTAGCGTTAGCGTGGCTATCGAGCAAGTTTTATCGGAATTACACTGTATTTCTTCACTGAAAGAAGAGCAAAACACTGCTCTGGAGGCTTTTCTCAGAGGAAAAGATGTTTTTGCTCTTCTCCCGACTGGTTTCGGCAAGAGTAGCCTGGTTTGTGGTTGTGTTTTCGTCGTCGCTCTGTTAGTACGTCATATGCTTCGTTGATCTGATTGGTTTATTTGGCCCGTCTATCACCAACATAGGCCAATCAGCTAACCAGTATTTTCGCCCCTTCCCAAAATTACTTCAACGGAAGGTTTCCAGATGGACATGCGGAGCAAATCCATCTGGAGGAGTCAGGTTAACTATGTTCCAATAGTGCACACCTGTGATAAATACTCATACAAGCAGTGTTATTTAAAACACACGCATGTAAACTTCTCTTCGCATCTATTGTGGACATTCTATGTCTGCAGATTCAGCACCATGACACCCTCAATACATCACAATCTTGAATGCATGCTCCTTTTCTGTGCTCTTGACTTGCTTTTTATGCACCTGTAGATTCTCTCCTGTGTCTGTGCGCTAAGGTCAGCCTTTATCAATTTGAGGGTGGAACACACCAGAGGACTGCCTGTGTTTTCCTATTTTTAGAGTACGCTCTCAGATAGCACTCTTTTTTTCTGAACAAGGTTACTGCAATTGTGGCCCTCAAGGTATGGTTTCTTACAACTTTTAGATGTGTCTCTAATCAACACAACACATATATGCCGTATATGGTGAATCAAAGGGTTGACCACAATTAGGGTCACTAAATTTACATGAAATTAACTCCTCAACTAACTCATATGTAAATGGAAGACACTGAAGTTCTTCTTATGGTTTTGATTTAATCTTTTTTAGCGATTTTTTGTGCAAAAATTAGCTTTCTAATGTAAATTGTGATTAGAAGTAGTTGCTTCATGTTCACTTTAAGCTAGGAGGTTAATATTTTATCCTTCTTCTCTTATGTGTTTTAATGGATGTCCATTTTCTTGGCTGTAATTGACTTTTTCCAAACTAACTCAAGGGCACTGAGATTGCAATAAAGAGTGGTTTAGGCATAACTAGATGTTCTGCAACCAGCCAGTAGGTCACTGGCAGGAGGTTTCGGAGAGCCACTGTCTACATGGTTACAATAAACCCTGCCCTTCCCTCAATGATTAAGGTTGGAGTGTTTTCTTTTTTTTGCCTTTCGCTCTAATAAATAAATAGTGCCTGTCCTGTGACTGCATGAAGCAAGAAGGGTAACTGCTTTCACTTCTGCTTGCAGATGACAAAGAGGAAGCAGTAATTACTGCTCATTCCTAGCATTTTTATTTATTACTATCTTTTGAAATGTAGATGTGTTTGCTCCTCGTTTTGCATGGTGCAACTACCACTTGGAGCAACATGTATTCATAGCATGACTTAATTAAGGTCAACACCTCACAACAAATGTACCTCAGCATTAAAACTTATTTTAAGTGTTCTTTTTTTTATCATTCTAGAATTTGATTTGTTTTAGATTGAAATAAAAATTCCTTCAGTAACATACTCTGTTCTTTTTTTATATGTGCTATAATCAAAGCTGTAGTTTCAAAACTGTGTTAACAATGTGGTCAGGAACTGGGCTGCATTTTCTGACTTTAATTTCTGGGCTGGGCCTGGGTCAAATAAGCCTGGTATTTAAATAGGAAATCTGCTACTACATACAGTGTGATAGCAATAAGGATGACTAGAAAAACAATAGAAAAACTTATGTGCCCAGCATTGTAGTAGTTATATTTACCTTCACACTATAATAAGGAATTCCAAAAATGTTTTATTAAACCAGGCAATTGTGTTGTTTTCTTAATCCTGTGCAGATTCTTCAATTACAGTACCAAAACTGTTGCAGTCAGTCTCATATTTAAATATTATGTAGTATGTCAGCTTGCTGCTTTATATATATATATATATATATATATATATATATATATATATATAGAAGTAATTGTGACACTGCAAAGATGATTTACAAAGATGCTCTAACTCAGTTATTAATGCATGGAGCTGTTTTGCAGAACTGGAGAGCTCCTTCAGTGACAGACTGCTGCATCCTAAATGCACCAGGGAGCGTTATCACAGATCCTTCCTCCCAGCAGCTGTAAGACTTTATAACCATCACTGTTCCCAACAATCTCAATAGGTTGTTACATTCATGCAGATTTTGCAGAGTTTCTACCTTAGTCAGTTAAATAACATGCTGCTGTCATCTTGCACATCTCTAATGTTGCTGTTTTTTTTTTAAATATCCATTACTGTAAAAATGTCCTTAACTGTATATTGGTTATGTATTCTCCAGGTGCACAGTATTTATATTGTCTAAAGACTTTGCATTTCAGTGTTTCATTTGTTTATTTTTTAACTCTTCACTATTATATTATTCTTGTAAGGCCCACACTTGTGTGACCATTTGTTATGTGCTTCGGGCACATTATGATTTTTGTCTATTTCTTTTCTTTGTTTTCTTACAGACTTTAGTTGAAGGATCTTTTGTTAATATATTTTGGGAGTTGAATAATTCTTTTGGCCAGTTAATTACGTTAATTTGTGGTGCTGTTGTCCGCCTATAAATAAGCTGGCTTTCGGCATGTTGGGGCGTTCCCTTCCATCCTCGCCTGGACTCCGCTTTTCCACCTGCTTCCACTCGTTCCACTGTGCGCGGTGCACGCTTGTCTTGTCGCTGCGGCCCGCAGCGGACGTTCCAGCCTGCCATGCGGTATTTTGGTTAGCCGTTGCTTGCTTTTTTTCTTGTGGTTTTGGCCTGGTGGGACCGGTTGTCCTATTTTCGATTTTTCTTTTGCTTAGGTTATTTTTGTGCTTTAGTCCGGTACCAGTAGGGGCTTCGACGGCCCTGTATAGGGTTGGCCCCCTGCTGTACCGTTTTGTTCTGTTTGATCGGCCTGCCAGGTCCATCTTTCTGTTGTTACTTTTGGGTTCTTATTTTTTGATTCCTTTGGGGCACGGGATCTGAGGGCCTCTAACTTTATTTTCTTCGCAGAAAAATCAGAAGAAGCTGAGCCAAGAAAACTAAAGAGGAGAGAATTTATAAATAAAATATCTTGTTGAACCCTCATCTTTTTGTCTCGTGTCCTCAAATATGTTGTGCCCTTGGTGGTCGTAACACCATTTTTCCTATTATCTTTTTAATGCTGTAAACACTAGAATTTCTCCATTGTGGACAATAAATGGATTTTCTATTCTATTCTATTAAAAATATTTTAAGTACTCACAGTGGTACAAATTCCTGTTGCCTAGCAACTTTTCTAAAAATAATTACAATGAACAGTGTGTTTCTTCTTTCTCTTGTGTGTACCAAGGGAACAAAAGGTGAAGCATATTTTAAGTCAGCCACATTTTAAAACTGCGTTGTTATCAAATCTAATCTCTGTGCTTTTACTGAACTCACCCAGGTGAGCAACTCTGGCGAGGCGAGGGTCAAAGCCGACCTGCTGGACTTTATCCGTGCGAGCCAAGAAGAAATTAATGACCCCGTCTGTCACAACACAGTTAGGAAATCCCTCCATAACATGATGAAATCCTCTTCTCATGTGCAAACAGTCTCCTTCCTCTTCTCCTGGCTCGATGGAGATGGTTTGCCTGTAGGTAGCCGTGTACCCTGTGGCTTCTCTCACTGCACCCCCAACCTACAAATACACACGCAGAAACATGCAGACAAATCTCTGTGATAACGCTTAAAACATTCTCACTGAGCCATAATTGATCTCTTATGGCACTCACCAGATCCAGAGTGGTCCTCTCTAAAACATCCACAAGCTTCTCCAGCTTGGTACTGGCTGTGAAGAAAAAGTCATCATCCACCCAGAGCACATATTTTGTCGTGACCTGCGAAACAGCCAAGTTTCGTCCAGCAAACCAACCCTAAGACAAAAGATGTTTCAGATTTAGAGATTCAAAGAGAATCAGCAGCAACATTAGACAAACACCAGCTCCCTACCTTCCCGAAAGGCATTATGTAGTGCTCGATATAAGGCCCAGAAATAGTTTTAGGATTTTCACTGTCGTCAGCAATTACTATCGTGACCGTAGGGTAGTATCTTCTGATGCTGTCAATAAGGTTTTGAAGTTTTTCATAACGCAGGAAGGTTTTTGTGGCCACGGTAACAAGAGCGCTGATATTATACTCTGCAGAGGACAAATATTAAAGGAGAACACGCTTCAAACTTTGATTATGACAGTAACATTTAGTTATTTGATGGCCTGATAGCTCTGTGTTGGTTACATGAGTCTTGGGTTGGATTGTTGAATATCTATCTACCTGAGAGGTAGAAGTGACATTCTAGACAGCTACCTCCTACAAAGGTCCTCCATCTATCTCTCTCTGGGAGACCTCTTGCCATCATGGGTAATTTTTTGGTAACAGGAGACTTTTAAATCATGTCATTGACATTTTTCATCCTTTAATCCAGGCATTTTTGTTTTTACAACTGGTATAATCCTGTCTCTTTTAAAAAATAATTAACTTACTGTAGTTAAATAAACAAATTGAGCAAGGAAAGGTTTGTAAGCTGAGTCTGTTTTATTTTCAACTTTAAGTTAAGTTTATAAAATCACAGCTTGTAAACAGTTATAGAAATATAATTGTACTGTACCTCCTTTAGAGCCAGTGTTGTAAAGTTTTGGAGTTACTGCATGACGGATCTTGATGCTTAAGACAGCTTGATGGCCTTCTGTCTCAAACTGCACTAAAGGACAAAATGAAAATGTGATTAATTTTCTATCTACAGACAGGTATTTTTTGTAAATATTTACCAATTCAAATAAACAGGTAAATAAAAAGTTACAACCATTCAATAAAGGGACATACATAGACTTCAATTTCAGCTTTCAGATATGGATTTGAATGGAATAGGGACAGAACAGGAAAGTGTGCACAAGTTTGGATACATTTTTATTCTGAAGTTAAAATTGGAGAAAGGAAAACCACAGTCTCAAATACCCACCTTGGCAAGGCAATTCAGTGCTTTGCGTGAATTAAACAATACATAAAAGCAAAGTAAACACAGAATGAACGCAATTAAGTCCTAAAAACAAGATTTAAAGCATGTAGTAAATAAAACAAAGAAAATAAATCAATGAAAATAAAACAATTGGACCACAGTCAGCACTTTTATAGTCTTTTGCAAGTTTGTTCCAGATAAGTGGAGCATAGGAACTAAATGCTGCTTCTAAATGACTCTAGTTCTGGGTGTACAGAGTAGGCTGGAATTAGAAGACCTGAGTGGTCTGAGAGGTTGATACACTGACAACAAATCTGTTAATGTATTGAGTTGCTGATCCATTCAGTTATTTATAAACTAACATAAGGATTTTAAAGTCTAATCTGAGCTACAGGGAGCCAGTGGAAGGACTGCAAAATCGGGCTGATGTTCTCTACTTTCTTAGCTGTAGTGAGAACATGGGCAGCTGGATCAGCTGCAGCTTTCTGATGGTCTTTATTTTTGGCAAACCTGTGAAGACACTGTTTCAGGAATCAGTTCTACTAAAGATAAAAGCATGACTGAGTTTCTCAGAGCCTCTGAGCCAACACTGCCCAAAGCATGCCCACCCTGAGGCTGTACATGTGTATGTCATGACAATGTTGTGACAACATTGGAACTACGGAAAGCCACTGTGGAACTATGGATTATTGTTGCTGAAAACTAATTATGAGAGACGTCTCCCAAATCTCATCCCTGTCAATTATGTGTAGCTGACATGATGTCTACAAGAAAAGCGCAAAGATTTGGTAAGGACTCTAAAAACAACTTTTCAAGCATCTGGAAACCTTTTTCTTTTTTTTTACTTTTTTGGAATTCTGATTGGTTGATATGGTCTGCTGATTTACAAGCACTTGGAAAAAATCGAAATCTAGAAGTAATTTTTACTTAAAATTAGTGCATTTTTTCTTGGACTTAGGTGGTTAAAGAGACATCTTGCCAATGGAACAAGACAATTTATACTTAAAATAAGGAAACACAATTACATTGTCTTATTATAAGTCATATTATCGAATTATCTTATTTTAAGAATAAAAATACTAATTCCATTGGCAAACTATCTCATTTACCTACTCAAATTAAGGGTAAATACAGTTAATCTAAGAAATGTTCTCTTATTTTTAGATCTTTTTTTCAGTGCAAGGTTTTCTGTAGGTGTAAACAAGATGTACCAGTTTGGTTAAAACAAAACCAATCAAAACTTCAGACTTTAGAAGCTCTGTCTGCATCTCCACAGGATGTTCTGCCTGTCTATGCAGTCTTTTATCATATATTAGACCATATTGTTTTGTTCTCTCTGTTTAAAGACTTTGCTGGACTAAGATCCTGATTCAGATAACAATACTTTTTTTTTTCAGTTTGGTGACCGTTTACCTTGTCAGTGAGCTTTAAAATGTTGCTATGCTTTTTTACCCTCCCTGTTCTTGTCATCTGTAGATTAAAAGATCTTGATAATGTTGTAGCCAAGATAATATGATGCACATTGGGTAACATTCAGTAACCAAGTCAGATTTCCTGTAGGAACTTTTCTTTTCTGAATTATTATAAGGATACTAGACCTTTTTACGCACAAATCTATTTAGAAATGACTAATCATGCCAAATAATTAGATCATATTAAGTTTCCCTTTGAGGTTTTCAATAGGCTTGGAAATACTATTCAATAATAGCATTCCCAAGTACTATCGTAGATCTAGATCTAGATCATGCAGTCACAGTACTCTCAATCTACTAACTGGAAAAGCTGATGTAGCTCTACTTAATAGCTTATTTAATTAAGATCTCCTAGATATTTGCCAGATATTAAATTACATTTTTCTTGATTAGAATTATTTTTATGTTTTTAGATAAGTTAGAATTAACAGTCTAGGTTTAAATTGTTCAATATGAGATTCTTAACAAAGAGAGATTTTTGTTCTACTCTCTTCATACATTTCTCTATCATTTGGTGAAATAATAAACTATATTAGTTGGGTCATCCATATTATCAGTCCACAAGCTTATTTCCTTTGTTTTCTTGTCCTACACATAAAGGGCTGAGATAAAAATTTGGAGTCATCAGGAGAAATGGTTCCATTATCATATGGAGACGATTTTACGAACTCAGAGGAACTGCAGCTTAGCTTTAAAAAAAAAAAAATAGGATCGAACTAATGATCTTTTAACAACTAAAGGTCAAGCTCTAAGTTATCATGAATTATAAATCCTGTCTGTGGTCAATATTGTTGGATCAGAATTATGTTTTTATTTTTGTCACTACTTTATTCCAAATTACATTTATACTTGTATGTAATGGTACATATTTCATTTTTCCAAATAGAAAAAATAGATTATAAAAAAGCATAAAACTTATAAGTTATAGTTTTACTTTGTATGAATGTAGTTTCTTTCTTTGGCTTAAGGTAAAAATATATATTTCTAGGAAATCAAAATGTATAGTTTCAAACACATCAGAAACTTAATTTGAGACAAAGTAATACATTTAGGTGTAACAAATTACAGTATTTTTTTAAGTTGATCCAAAGTATCTTTTTTTCAGTGTATGTCAGCAAAGATAATTGCCTTTGGCTGCATTTGCATACGGAAAACTGGCTGTTTTTTGCTATTGGAGCAATGGCTTCTTCCTCTATGATAGGCTTTTCAGGCCATGTTATTACATTTCTGTGTACAGGCAGCCTTTTCTCAAAAAAACAGTTATCTCTGTGTTACAGAATCCCCTTCAATCCTAGTCAGTGTGGTGACTTGGCATTTGTATATTTAAAATTCTTCTGTATAATTGTTAGAACCGAAAAACCCATAGATTTTTTGTTTTTTTACCTTAAATGCCTGTTTTAATGTCAGACATTGGGAAAAGGCCATTTCTGCATAAAAATGTGGTTTACATGCAGGGATTGAAATGTGGTTTAAAGGAAATATAAAAAAGTGGAAAACTGTTATGACTTGCTTATCATTTTCTCAACTATCTTAACCCTGAGAAATCCCAAGACTATGGAGGTCTTACCTGTGTCTGCAGTGCTGGGGTGAAACAGCGTGTTTGTGTAGGTGACAAACTGCAGCTGTCGGTTCATGTTCGGTAACAAACTACTAGACAGCATCATATGCATCTCTCCATCACCTTTTATTTTCACTCCCTCCACTTCTGCTGCTACATTTAGTGTTCCTAGATTGGCAGTGATGTTTATCTGCAGCATGGTGGAAAATAAAACACAAAGTGAGAGAATTCCCCAAAATTGGAAGGCAAAAAAAAAGAAAAGAAAGAAAAAGAGCACAATACTCACAGTGTAATGGTTTCTGGGAACGTCATGTAAGGCCAAACCTGACAAAAAGAAAACAGAAAAATTTTTAATTGTTAAAGATGATATGTAGAAGGAAGCACTTCTTCAAAACAACTACAAATGCTGGTGTGGGAAATTTCTCAATCAAATGTGATTATTTCACTAAAATAAACTGTAAAAACAAAAAACAAAAAAAACACACAACTTTTTAATGGATTAATGATTACATTTTTGTGTTAGAAACGAAACAAGAGAGTCAAGCAAAGGTCAGCTTTGTTGATTTCTTTGTATTTCTGCAGGATGGAGGCCTGGCCAACAGATTTGTTCCAAATTCACACATATCTAATGGAAATCATGCAACATATTGATCAACAGAGACAGTTGAGGTGTCATTACATCCTGTTTTACACTGTCCAGCCAATTTAGTTTCCCCAAAGAGGACCAGAAAATCAATCTGGAAAGCCAAGCTAATAATGTGTGGAACACATTTCAGTCTGGGCCTGCATGGGAAAAGGGCCCAGACTGGTGATTGGGCCCACCTGCACTACCGTTCAAAAGTTTGGGGTCACATTGAAATGTCCTTATTTTAAAGGAAAAGCACTGTACTTTTCAATGAAGATAACTTTAAACTAGTCTTAACTTTAAAGAAATACACTCTATACATTGCTAATGTGGTAAATGACTATTCTAGCTGCGATGTCTGGTTTTTGGTGCAATATTTACATAGGTGTATAGAGGCCCATTTCCAGCAACTATTACTTCATTGTTCTAATGGTAGGTGTGTTTGCTCATTGGCTCAGAAGGCTAATTGATTATTAGAAAACCCTTGTGCAATCATGTTCACACATCTGAAAACACTTTAGTTCGTTACAGAAGCTACAAAACTGGCCTTCCTTTGAGCAGATTGAGTTTCTGGAGCATCACATTTGTGGGGTCTATTAAACACTCGAAATGGCCAGAAAGAGAGAACTTTCATCTGAAACTCGACAGTCTATTCTTGTTCTTAGAAATGAAGGCCATTTTAGCGTTTACTCTTCTACTCTTTATAATAGGCTCTCCACGTTCTTGGACTTGTGCTCACAAGCACATTTCTATTTTAGATTACTACAGCTGCCCCTGTTTTGAGTTTTTGAGCTCCCATTTAAAAAAACTAGACTAACCTAAAGACTAGACTAAACCTCATTCAAATAATAAATGAGAGTCTACAATTCTTGAACCCAAATACAAAGACATGAGCAATGAAACAAGTACCTGGGATAATGATAGTTTTCAGGGGCCGAACTTCCAGGCCCTGTGTTGGATACTGTAGTGGATTGTTGGCCTCTGCGATGATGAGTATGTCTGCTGCAGTTTTGGACCTGATAAGAAATGTTTGGGTCAGGAGGGCTTAAACAAAGTATACAATCTACAAACCAACTAATTAAAAGAATGGACAGACACAGTGCTTGAGTTGGTTTAGCTTATTCTTTAAAGTAGTGATAACAGTATTGTTGGTACAGAACAATACAGCCCTTGAGCTGTTGAGCTCTCTACAATTTCCAATGTTTGATATGTTAAAAAAAAGGATTATGATCTGAAAATCAAAGTAGTGCAGCAGTTTACTTGTCCCTAGTTTTACTCAAAATAAAAGCTCACTGAAATTCACAGAGTTATCAAATTTTCCAAAAACAGCAGCAGAAGTTTTGTACTTCTGACAACTGACATAATGTACACTGTAAATACATACAGTGTTAAATATGTAATGTCAAAGTACATTGACTCTTTTAGAGTTATTCCAATAACAACTGGAGTAAGATATACACTACATAGAGTTCTAAATTAAATGTTTTTTAAACATGCAATCCCTCTTTTCAGGAATGATTTCCAGAAAGATCTGAAAATGTCAGAACATTTAACAGTGAAAGCTTGTTTTAATTATAATGGATCAAGACATCAGTTCCCTCACCCAGTGTGATTGTTTCTGATGCTCTGCTGTGTAGTAGCAAAGGGTTTGGCTGACCACTTGCTTTTAGTAAATATATGTATATTTGCACAACACATCTCTGCATGCTATCCTGACACAGAAAGTGAGAATGAACTAATAATTCAATTGTTATTATGAGTCCCAGGATGAGGTATTACTTCCTTATTTACCTCTCCTGGAAGCTTCTATACTCTTTAGCCCGTCTCATCTTCATTTCCTCCAGCTCAGAGGCATCAAAGGCAGTGTGCAGAGGGTGTGCTGACACCCGCGGGAACAGGAGCTGGGAGAACGGCAGGTTCACTCCAGGAGTCTCACCCTCACAAACGCACCCATTACGTGCCAGCAAGCTGAACATTTAGAGACACGTGTAGTAAGAGCTTAATTTATACATAGGGTGAAATACATTTCTCATTTAGGACATAGAGGCCTTACCTTGCCACACTTTCCCTTACACGATAGGGAATGCTGCTTAACTGGTGGTCTGGTTCTGGAAGCCTCTCCTCCAGATGTCTTTCCACTGTTGGACCCAGCCGCTGCCACACATCCACTGTGTTGTATGACCGAGTGGGCCATGAGTGTAGAAGAGCCAGTACAACCACCACAGACACCAGAATGGCGAGCAGCACTGTCTTCCTCAGGGACCGCATAGTATAACCTGTCTGATAAGAATGTATAAGTATGATTTTCTGTTTTTTTTTTATTGTCAAGCACACTTCATATTTGACGAAACCAAAAAACAACAACAGAAACAATCAGCAAAAGGAAGGAAGCAGTGTGCTGCAGATGCTGTGAACTATCATGATCAACTGTTAGACGGAAGTGAATGTACTGTAATGTGTAGCTTTTTAAAATCAATTAGGGCTTAATCAATTATTCGGATTAATTGATTTTTGAAATAATTGTAAACTAATTTAGTAATTTATTTATCTTTAACTGTAGTATAGAGACTGTAGTATATGACTTTAGCTGACGGAGCAACCCCCTACCAGATAATTACTACCAGAGCAGGTTTAAACAACAATAAAAAAATAAAATAAAAAAACTTTCACCTGTTAATATGCTCTATCCAGAACTCCTTAAGAGTAAAAATTTTAGTTTCGTATGATTTAATTTTTTTGTCTTCTTTAAGGAACCTTTGGCTAGCTTATCAATCAGTTAATAAAAAAAAATATGAACAGATTAATGGATTTGCAAAATAATCTTTAGTTGGAGCCCTAAAACAAATGCAGCCTTCATCATCTCACCATGCAAAATGGTTTTACAAACAGAAAGCAAAACCTGGACCCCTTACATGATTGCCTTGCATTGTTTCTTGGCATAATGTACTGGCTGATAATGGTCATGAGGCAGGAAACACCCTGAAAAGACTGACAGTCCATCAATCAATGGGACCAAAAAATACACACAAGGAACAGATGCCCAAGCCACCTCAGCTGGCTCCTTTCGACGTGGAGGAATAAAGACTCTACTCTGAGCTCTTCCCGGGTAACTGAGCTCCTCACCCAATGTTAAGCTTTTAATTGAAGCAGTGTTTCACATTCTATTTTGTTAATTGGTGTTGACGTCTTTCCTGTAAAGCACTTTGGTGCAGTTTTATACCTGTTTTTAAAGTGCTATATAAATAAATTTGACATTGACAAACACAAAATACTTGCTTCTTTCCGTAAAAATTCAATAAATATCCACTGGACTTGGTTTCCAAGATTTGAAGACGTTTTGCCACCTCTCCAGGAAGCTTTCTCAATTCAAATGTCTGGATCCGCCATTGAGAATTGAGAAAGCTTCCTGAAAAGATGGCGAAACGTCTTCAAATCTTGGAAACCAAGTCCAGTGGATATTTTTTGAATTTTTACGGAATGACTATGACCTGGATGACTGAGAACCTTCATCAGCACTTGCTTCTTTATTTAAATTGTAAGCTTAGGAGTCTTTTGATCACTTCAGTCAATGCTTCATGAAGAGGAAAAACAAACACATGTATAAGTCACACTGAGCTATAAGTCACATGTATTCACGTGACTTATCCATGGACTGCTTTCTGTTGTTCTGGCTATATTTCTATCAGCCAACAGCTTTCTTTGTTTGTTTTCTTTATTCCAGAAATAGTGTCCTCTTCTTTCTGCCAGTCACTCACAAGTTTCTCTCACGATTTAATTTTTTCTTTCTCCTGCTGCTTGATTATTATTAGCTGCTCATATTATTATCTAGTTTGTAATCTGCAGGATCTGATTTTCTTTTTGAAAACAAAAAAAAACTTTTGCTCTAGAGTCTGTCCTGCGCCAAAATAAGGGAGGCATTGCTGAAAAAGCCAGAGAAATACTTGGAGATTATATTATCATTTAAACTAAATTGAAAATGTCAATTTCAACATAATGGTTTAATTCACTTTTAAGCTAGTAAATGTGAAAACTAAATATCCGTGGTCATTTGTCTTAATCTCATTCTCACATTTTTTGTATGATGTTTGAATATGTTTACAGCAACATTAACATTCTTTGAGAAATGACAGAATTTCTGTAACACACTGACATTTCAAATGTAGGATATGTTGTTTTCCTTCTACGGAAAATTATAAAACTAAACAGGCAGACATAGACACATAATCACTTATTTTGTTAGCTTATTTTGTTAGTTCTGCTGCATGCCACTGTATCAGGAGTTTCTTATAAGCCGAATAGGCAGCTGAGTGTTGGACTCACTTATCAGCAGACCTGGTCTAATTGAGAAATAGTACATATTGTAACTAAAATAGTAGATATTGTAGTTACTAAGCCATTAGTTGTTGCCTTGTGACCAAGTTCTAAAAATCAGAGTTGTAGTTTCTTAAGCAGTGGCGTAGGAATAGGGGGGGGCAAGGGGGGCAATTCCCCCTCACTTTTTGGGGGGCAAAAAGTATGTATATAAATTTGATTTTAACTTTTTCTATTATTATGATAAATACAACAATAAGAAAGCTATCAATATCAACAAGAAGTATTTGGCTACCTAATAAATCGATAGTGTTACTGTTAGGGTTGGGAATTGAAAAGATTTTCACGATTCCGATTCCCTTTTCGATTCTATGAAACGATTCGATTCTTTATCGATTCTTTTTTCGATTCCAATTTGGGGAAAAAAGGAGAACAAACAGTTTGATTATCAGCATCAACTTTGTTTACTTAACTATTGCACAATCTTACAAACTCAACAAGATCAAGATGTCCACAGGAAATGTGAAACTGGAGTAACATCTGTGTTTAAATTAAAAATGAATACAAGAACAAACTTAATAACCAACAATGTCTAATAACAAATTATGGGATAATAACCTATTTTAAATAACAAAAAATACTAATTATAAAACAGTAGTAGGGAAAATTAACAGTTCTTTTGCAGAAAGATGAGCATATCTGCTTTTTCTGAAAGGATACGGGATCTTTCAGGGCTTATGGTGTCTCCAGCCGTGGAGAACACCCTCTCAGATGGGGTGGAGGAAGCCTGCACACAGAGGTAGTTTTCAGCCAGTCCAGATAGCAAGGGCAGCGTATCTTGCTTGTTCCACCACCACAGTGTGCCGCTATCCCTGCAGGGGATGGAGGGCAAGCTTTTATAGAGCTGGATTTCCTGATGTACCCTCTGGGCTAAGGAAAGACGGGGCTTTGATTCACAAAGTGACCGCAGCTCGTTGTCTTCCTCCTCGAATAGTTCTTCCAACTTGCGTAACTTGCGTAACTTGCGTAACTTACGTAACGTACGTAAAAAACGTGACGTAAGCCGTGCTCCCCAGAGCCGGCGCTCTAGGCTCTGGTGCTGCGGGAATCGAAAAAAGAATCGTTCAGCGAGCTGCCAAACGATGCCATGGAATCGGAAAATACGGAACCGGTTCTGAACAGGAACCGGTTTTCGATTCCCATCCCTAGTTACTGTCATTGAATTCAATTATTATTATTAATTAATTTCTTTTCTCTTAATTACATTTTTAATTACTTGAAGTCTCCTGGTTATTTCATTATCTTTTTAATGTTCAAATTCATTATTATTATTTTGTTTAATATGGGTTAAGCTTCAGTACTCTTAGTATGTGTAAATTGTTTACATCTTGTACGACTAGGTACTGTTTACTGGGACCTAGTTAATAAGTAACATGTGTGGGCATCTTCTCGGTATCCAACTTTTATGAGTCTGTCCACTTAATGACCTCTTGACTCATGCGCTATAGTGATGCATGAATTATGAATCCCTGAGTCAAGATTTTTGTATATGTGTTTTTACTCTTCTTATGGCATGAAAAAAAATAATTTTTTTTTCAAAAATTAAATTTTTCCAGGAGGTTACAGAAATCTCCACTACAGTGGACTACATGAGCTTGAGCACGCAACACAAAACATTATGAATTATTTTATGAAAAAATAACTCTTTAGCCTACAGTGCTGATATAGATGTAAATGAACTGATTGCTTCTTTAATCAGCATGCTAATTAAACATGTTAAATAGGGGTGCATTTCACTTTTCCTTGCCTATGGACCCAAAAGATTTTTTGGTCCGCTCCGCTCGCCATTTGGCTATAATACCTTATCTGTCTTATTTGCCCCCCCACATTTTAAAACCTTCCTACGCCCCTGTTAAGTGGTAATAGATTCAATCTTGAATTACATAGTGCAATTGTGAGGAAAATCAAGACTCTCCTGTTTTCTATTTGGTCTGTTTTGAAATAAGAATTAATGACAAAAATAGCTGTAATTTTTTATGGCATGTTTATGCTGAAGTTCTTCACAGTTGGTATACAGTCTGTAGCAGGTGGTTCAACGCATCCATACATCTAGTGGTTTCTGAAAGTTACAGGATCTTTAAAGTTACCTTTAAAATTATACAGACTCATATTAGAAAATGTAGTATGTATTTTTGAATACTTAAGTACTTTTAAATGCACGTACTTTTGAATTCTTAAGTATTTTCAAAATTGAGTTTTGCAATACTTTAGTGGATGAGTAACTTTTTACTGGTAGATGAGTAAGATTTGACTATGAGTATCAGTATCGGAATTCTTGAAAAACACAGAATCTTTCAGCCCTTTCTAGCATTTTTTTTCTTCCCCCATTCTAAGACAGTCTCCACCACTCACACATCCTGTCTATATGAACACAATGAGTTCTTTGTCTTCCTAATGCTACCAAAAACAACAACAACAACAAACAATGTGTCCCTTTAGGTGTGCTTTCATTAGTTGTCTCATCTGGAAACAGCTCTGCATAGAATGAGGTGTTTTACCCTTTGAAATAAGCAACGAAGAAGAAAACACATCATAAGTACATAGATTTCATTTTAATCATCCAACTGATCACGTGATTTAAATGGAGGAGAACACAAGCCCTTGTGTGTTGTTGGGTCTGACAGACACTCCCTTTTGAAAAGAAGCCTGCAGCATAGCCAAGTATTAACCAATCACAGTGCACCAAACACTAGTGACATTGAATGCATTTACCATTTCAGATAGTTCAAACATATAAAACTCTCAGTCTCTCTCTAAAATGTACCTCACTGGCTCGATCCAGTTAGTAAAGGATTAATCTTTGTTGAGACCAGCATCTCCAGAAACCAAGCAGACAGTGGGGTAAACACATGAGCTCTGGCTCCATCTGAAAATCAGATAACAACACCATAAACTGGCAGTTCAGCATGAAAAGAAGTGGAACTGACATCAGATATTTATATACACTGTATCAAAATACCTTTATAACATATTCTCACTGTTGTACAGTAAATGACACTAAAGTTCTCGCTTCTCAGGTTAAAAACGCCTTCCATCTTCAAATTTACATACATTACTGATGAGCCTTATGGCAAGTTAGAAAAACTCTTATTATTTCTGATAAATTAGATTGCAACATTTTAGTTAACTGGGTGTTACATGCACTACATATCTGTAAATGTATTTTAAGGTAAAATCTAAAATACACTGACTCCTTCTGTTTCTTATTGAAACCCCAAAAGAAATCAGCTAAGATATCAGAAAGAGAATCGTAGTTCATCCTTGGGTACAATATCCAGATTACTGAAGTGCATCTGTGGCAGGAGAGTAGAGATAGACCAGTACATCAGCTAGCCAATATTAAGTGTTTTTTTTTTTTTTTATCTGGTATCTATAGTGGCCATTATGTGCATACATTTGGCAAATCTATTAGTGCAGTGGTTCCAAACCCAGAATTGTTACTTCTATTGATGAAAGTACAGAAATCCTGACTTTTGCAGTGTTGGGAACTGCATTGCTTTACCAGCTGTTCTGGGTTTATTTGCGATTTCACTAATGAGTCGTGGTGCATTCCTGGAGTAAGTGAATGGCCACTTCTGAGAAGGTTCAGCACTATTTCTCTTAGACTCTCTTGGCGATGTCTTCACTTCCTAGGGATTTCCCAGACTGATCAATGTCATCTGTTTTTAATTTTCTTTATACAAAAAGTATGTGGTTTCTTGCTTAAGATATCTTTCTCTGCATCAGAGTCAGGCTTGGACATAAACATACTAGGTCTACAACATCATGCAAGCAGGGTTGCCAGATGGCACTGACTCTCGTTTTCCAGTCCAAACAATTTTCATAAACCGGATATATGAAATCTCCCCAAATTTCAACCAAAGTCTATGGATCTCTTAAGCCATAAATCTAAAGAAAAACATTTTTTACCTATAGACAGCCATCCTAAACAATGCACATAAGACAGGAAACGATAGCCTTTAGATGGTAACCCCATCATTGCGAGATATTAAAAAATGAATTTGCCAAATATAAGAGGAACATCGTAGTTTGGTTTAAAGAAAGCATTTTAGCTTTATTATAACTTAGTTTGATGCAAGGATTTTACAGTTTGACGAAATAGAAAATTACACCATATGCCAACTGTCACAAGGATATGCATTGCAAGGAAGGGCTATATATACTGCATGCATCATTTAAATAGTTTAAGTTGTATTACTTCTGGAGCTCCTTGAGTTATTTACTGTCACAGGTGCTTCGGCCAGAGAGTAAGTGATGGGGCCGGTATGATTTAAGGAGGGCCAGCCCACCGGGCAAATGCCGGGTATCACAGATTACCAGTCCGTGCCTGGTCAGAGTGGTTTATAATTGAGCAGTTTGGAATACCTTTTTTTTCGCAATACATGAAATAAGCATTTAAATATAGCATTTTGTAGTAATGCAGGTTATCAAAAAAAAAGTAAACAAATGAAAGTAATCAAAGGGAGAATATTTTTAGAACAAGAGTTTACAAGCAGTCAGTTACAATTAACATTCCAGAGTACCCCTAAGACAGGAACAGATCAGTTTCCTTATGCTTTTATAATGTAAAGTGTGTGTTTTTTGTGCTTGCTTTGGTTAAGACCAGAATTTAGATGTTTGTGTAATATTTCACAATTAATGAACAGAATTTGAAAAAAAAGAAGAACATTGTTGTGGCTTTATGGTTTATTTGAAACCACAGATGAAACCCTCTAGATCCTCTCTTTACTCCTAAAGCCCTGGATGATTGTGCTTCATCTTGAATAGTAATTAAAAAAAACAGTAATGTACTGTGTGGCACAAAGCACAGGAATTACAGGGAGCATATTTGGAGTGATTAAGGGTGTAGGAATAGACTGGGGTCCCTCCAAAAGTGCAAGGGACAGAACAGCTGCTCACTTATAGGTCCATCACAATTCTAGCCTCCTTTTTCATGTTACATTCTCTGCACCCACAAGCGACCATAATGGAAAAAAAGGAAAATATGGCATATTTTACGTGCCGCAATTCAAAACAGGGCTGAATACCAAGCGACAAGCAGGCCTATTAGCGTTTACCTATGACGGTGAAAAACACTGCAGGGAAGATGCACGCATTTAAAAGGCTCATTGTTGCTTTCCATCCTAAACCTATCCGACAAATGCAATCTGCTTCCTCATTAAGGGAAATTAAGAAAAAAATAGCAAATAAATACATTTTCACCTATTTTGTGCATACTTTATTGTGTTCATCTATGGATCGAAATATCGTCAGAGATGTCCAGCTGAGTAGGGGCCTCTCTAATCAGGCTTATTATTAACAATAGAAGGTAATGAACAGGATTCTCACCTCAGTAAAGACGCGCAACGAGACGTTTCTCCGCCGTCCTGCTCATAGCTCTCTCTTGCTCTAACGGATCCGATCCAAGGCGGTCTGGTGGAAGTGAATCTGGATAAAGGGAGAGAGAGGAGGAGATGCGGTCGCAGCGCATCGCAACACACAGCAGCTCGCTGTGGATGCTCCCCCTGCTGCAGCAGCGGCAGCAGCGCAGCGCACAGGCGCACCGACACAAAGCCACAGGGCTCTGCGAGCTGGCAGGGCTCCAGCCTTCGCTGATATCAGTTAGGCTTATGTATTCAAACACATTGGAGCTTTTTATTTTATTTTCTAAAATGACTTAATTTTAGCGTCGTAAAGCTGAGATCTATGCACGAGAAGGCCTGCTTGCATGGGCGGTTCTTGCATGACTGGAACCATGGACAAGCCCCTCCTTTTGCCCAACTGTAACCCCACATTCCTTTACAAAAGGCATTCAGCTTAATCTAGTTACATGTGGATGTTAATGAATTTGAATAGGTTATATACATTAATAAAGAATATGTTATTAGATCATGGGCGATTCTAAACGGGGGCCATCCGGAACTCCTGGCCCCTGTACCCAGAGGCGTAGCCAGAAAAATTTTATAAGGGTGGCCAGGCAATAACCAATGTACACTGAAGGGTGGCTGAAAGTGGATAGGCGCCACAACCTCAGGGTGTCACATTGAGTTGGAGGCTTTTGTGGGGACTTGTTAAGGAAGAAAATATTCTAAAATAGTTAACTTTGGAAAAAAGTTGGCTTCTCTCTTCCTTTCCCAGGTCCTCTCTGTGAGCTGCGTGTAGCCACAATAAAAACCAGCATTGCGTGTTGACATCACAGAATTACAGAGTTTAATCCAATATAAGACAATGCATAAACTTAGAAATAAGACAATGCACAAACCTACACCAGAAACTGCAGAACAACAGAGACATACATTCAATTACCTGACATAAATGGAGAGAAGAAAAGAAAGCAAAGACGTACAAAGACATCTTTGGAGAGTTGCAAGAGCAAAATCTGAATTGTTACTTGTAGAAAGCTTTATCCTCTTGTAACTAATCCATTCAAATAAGGCTGGCCCTTGCTCCTCCAACCAGGAGCCATTCCCCTAATTTATGGCAAACATCTGGGGTCATTTGCTTCTTTGTTTTAACAAGAAAAAGCGGAAAGCTTATCTTGGCCTCTAGAATTCTTAGGGTCATCTGGCTAAGATAAGCTTTCACAAACAGCTTGTAGAATGCGGGGGCCTCTCCCATAAATCTCAAGAACAAACTTAAATTCAGTATTTTGGTTCAAGGAAAGGTTATCTTCACAATTCAATTTTGCTCTTCTGCACCATTTCACCCTAAAAGATTGAATCCTGCCTTAAACCAAAAATAACACATAGAATCAACAGAACATGAGATACAATTCCTTTTTCTCACATATGAAACATAATATTCAATCCTAAGTATACAAGCTAACATATTCCATTACCCCATTAAGCATAGATCCTGAGCAATTTTCTAATACTAAACAAAGCATTTTCATTCAAACAATTTCCATTTGATTCTGATATTTAGAAAAATGTCTTAAAAACTAAATGTTGGTGTTTAAACATTCGACATTGTACTCAGTTTCACACCATCCCAGATGTTTATTCTGGAAGACTTTTGACCTTCTGTAAACCAGGGAGAAATCTCTCCTCCAGGCTCAAATAATGTTCGCCCCCCAGGAGATACTCATTTTATGGCCTGGTGCTTTAAATACTTACCCCTCAATAGCTTAGTTTTAAATCATTAACACAACCTTGTTCAGAATTAAGAAATATGTTCAAAATGAGAGTGTTCAACATACCTTTTACACATGCCATAAGATTAACTGTATTAAAGACTAAAAATAATCATTTTTCTTTAACAGGACCCAAATGAAGAGGCTGAGAGGCAGAGGTAACTTCCTGTAGTTTTACTGAGTAAACACAGGTAACAGAGGCAGCAATCCAAAGATCCAACTTAATAAAACAAAAACCATGGAGACTTCAGTGGAAAACAAACACGAGGAGCCAGGAACAGATGAGGTAGGAAGACAACAGCAACGAAGAATCAGGAACGACAAGGAACCAGCGAAGAGTGACAGCAGAGGAAGAGTATTTATGGCTGACTGAACAAAGGCAGGGCTAACGAACTGATAAGGAGCAGGTGTGAATGGAGACAACGAGGAAGCCAAAAGAAAAGGAACATACACAAGAGGGCAACAGAGGAAAACAAAGAAAAACCTGAGAACTAAAATATATATCCAGAAAATACAACAAAATAGGAATTAAACCAATAAGAAAACATGGAGCAAAGTAAAACATAACAGAATTAAGACTGTGCCCATTCCAACAGGGAGAGAAACATCCATATTCTCTAAATAAAGACAACCTATATTTTCCTACAGCCTTTGCTAACAAATAGATATTTAAACATCCGTGCTTTCTAGATAAAAGGTAGAATGGATACAATTCTTTCAGTTTTACGTTCTGGGTCGTAAATCTTTTCCATTGTTATTACTTACCTACTTGTATCAAAAAACATTCTGCATAAAATTGATATTTACAAGTACTAATATCTACATAAATTGATTATTTGATAAACTTTTATTAAAATTCTTTTTTATCTATGATTTCACTGAAGACTCCTAGATGACTTGCAGCGAAACATTTTCTCCTTACCCCATATAATACAAAATCTTCTTCTGAAAAGAGCATGAATTCTGTACTTATCATATTTGATTTTAGTATATTGATGTGTATAATTAACCCAAAAAATGTAAATGTTTTGAATATTCCACTTGAGAGTATTACTGCTGCCACCATCTGTATTAGAGGGAAAAACATGGCATGGGTGGACACAGGGGTGGCCAATGATTAGCTAGCCCCAACCATGCCTGTACCAAAGAAATATTACAGTAGGAATGTATAATAAATAAATGATCATATGCAATGGAACAGTAAAAACAATTGATAAGTGCTTTCAACTTATTTTTGTATTTCTACAGTTTTATTTTATTTATGTTTTAAAAATCAAGTTGTTGCACATTTAGTTTCAGTCTATTAAAGGTATAGTGGAGGATGTTGTTTATCCAGGCAGATCATCAAAGTAAGTCGTCCTCCTAATTTTCAGTCATTCTTGTGATATGTTTACATAGCCATCCTACATATGCTTTTCCCTTTTTTCACTTACCAGTGGTGAGTCTGACATAGGGCCGGATTTATCAAAGGTTTGCGTGTATTAAAACGTGAGCTATTTCACTGCGCACGCAAAAAAATGTACAAACTGATCTATCAACAGCGTGCTAAAAGGATTTGGTCTTTAAAACGTGCTAAATAGCGTCTCTTATCCATTTAGTACTTTTTCTGCAATGAATATTCAATATAGGGCGTTTACACGCAAAAGTGCGTCTTGTGGGAGGATAACATGTAAATATATTAATTTAGCACTCGCAAAGTGATTTATCAAACCTGAAAGCAATTTTGCTAACGGTATCTGACTCTATATTTAACACGTTTCAAAAGAAGGTGCAAATGGTCTGTATGCGTAATTGCGCACACATGGCAGCGGTTATTGTCGCAAGAAGGAGAAATCGAAATGAAGCAAGGAGACGCAGAGAACGCATTTTTTCACTCCGTGTGAATATTTTTGGAATGAACGAGGAAACGATCATCAAAACATATCGTTTATCCAGCATTGCCATTTTGGAGCTGTTGGGGGAACTCCGAATGGATTTGGAGCCAGGCACAAGGAGGACCCACGCAATACCAGATATCACGAAACTCCTTGCAACATTGCACTTTTTTGCATCTGGGATCTCCCAATCTCGTTTTTCAGAAGTGCTGTCCGACGTTCTAAATGCCATGTCGCCCTGACGCCCTACCGGAGAACCCCGACACCCTGCGCCTGTGGAGTAACATGCCAATGCAGTCATCTTATCCACAGTCATTTCTTGTGAGCCATTTGGTATGTGCATTTTTCTACAGGCCGATAAAAAACACCTGTTTTATTTTTGTTTGTGTGTTTTTTTCTTACTGCGGTGAAGTAGAAATTCAGCCACATACCACCTTAGGGAATAAAGGTTGCCAAAGTTTATATATATATATATATATATATATATATATATATATATATATATATATATATATATATATATATATATATATATATATATATATATATATATATATATATATATATATATTTTTTTTTTTTTTTTTTCTTTTTTTGGAGGGGGTGGTGTCACTGTAAGATTAAAATTTCTTAATGCACTAGTTTGCACAAACTACAAACTACTTTGCCGCAAACCACAAAACGCGCAAAACCATAATTTAAATAGGGCGTCTCCAACAGTTTTGCGCCTGCCACCAGTTACGCAATCGCTCTTGTTAAATCACCCGCAAACCATGGTTCAGCCCCTCACGCAAAATTCCACTTTGCGAGCGCAAATTACTGCACGCAAAATTGGATCTTGATAAATCCGGCCCATAAGTGAAAATTTGCAAATCTTCTTTTGGAAAGTAAGCATGTATGAGTGATGCAAACAGCAACTTTTATGCAGAGTGTGGACGAGGAGAAACAGGCTTGTGCACGCTCTCACACGTGTTTAATAGGCATTCCCTCTCAGGAGCGGTTACAGGGTTGTGCATGTGCATTTTTAATTATTTAAAAAAGTGGAGAGTGCTGGTGTTTTTAAAAAATTTGTGAAAATTATCCCTTATACCTTTAAGACAGAGACTTTTTTGCTGGATCTGAGGATTCATGAGCTGAAAATGGCTTTTTGGTTCATTTGATATAACAAATGAGGAACTTTTGCACTGTTTTTTGTTTGTTTTGTTTGGTCCACGATCTCTCCATAGTTACTATGAAAAAAAAACCATAAAAAAAAAAAAAACTGCTCTCTCGCTCATTCGTTGTACTTCTGGAAAAGGGTGGGTGGCCCTCAGGCTCAGGTCCTGTACGAGCCAGCTGTTCACTGGACTGCATATTTCTGGATTAGGATCTCTGGTGTTTCTCCACGTATCTGCTGGAAACAATTTTCCAGTATGGGGGTTACAGCCCCCAATTCTCAGATGACAACTGGAACTTCAGTTGCTTTCACTTCCCAAGCTTTCTCTACTTCTTCCCTTCCCTTTTTTCCAGATGTTTCCATTATTCCGGATGGCCACAACGATCACTATGGCCGTCTTCTGCTGCATATCAGTGATAATGTCTCAGATCTTACCTCTGCCATTCTCCAACACCTTGGGGTGTGACTTTTGAACTTAGGGTCTCCAGTTTATATTCTGCACAGATGTTTCTGTATACTATACCAGCCACTTGTTTATGATGTCCAATGTATTCCTTTCCTGCCAGAATCTTATACCCTGTTGTGAGATGGTGGATTGTTTCTGTTTACATAGCCTGCACCTGGTATCTTGCTAGGAATGGTAGATCTGGGCATCTATTGCTCTCATACTCAGGGCTTGCTTCTGTGGTGCCATGGTCAGTGCACCTGTGCCGTCCTTCAGCCTGGACCTCTCTAGCCATTAATAGGATTTGTTCATATCAGCCTCTTCAGCTATCTTTTGGTGGAACATCCCACGCAGGTGTTTTTTCCTCCCATGACAGTTCCTCCCGTTTCTACATTTCCAGCTTCCATTGTTTGAGACATTCTCTAAGCACTCCATACCTTGGGGACATCTTCCTGATGTATTGTTGGAACTTGGATGTTTCATCTTCAATGGTTGCTCTGATGCTGACTAGGCATCTGCCTCCTTCTTTGTGCTTAGTGTATTGGCTGTGGATACTGGATTTGGTGTGGAGTCCACCATGCATGGTGAGTAGCTTTTGTGTTTTAACACCAATTGTTGGATTTTTTCTCCTTTGGGCTCTTTATTCATCTTCTGCAGGGTATCTAATTCCTGGCAACATGATGTCAAGCATGAAATGGACCAAGCTTGACTTGTAGAAAGTAGATAACACATCTTTTATTCCCACATTCTCAAAGCCTTTTGGTCAGGGATGAAAATATTGTCTGGTAGTGTAGAGATTGGGCAGTAAGCAGTACCAGCAGGACAAATACCTAAGCGCACAGTTACCAATCTGATTGCAGTGAGACAGATGCGCTGTGTTTAAACCTCACATATGTTTTTCTATAGATGCACATTAAACTTTAAGAAACTGTGCCCTGCTATCCATCTTTGTGTGCGCTTAGCTATGTGTCTGCACTCGTGCTTTGCCCCGGTGGTGCACCCTGGAGCTCATTGCTCTCTCTTCATCCTCTGTGCACTCAGTTGTCTCTCTATGTTGTGGAAAACAGCATCTGCAGCATATTTTGTCTGACTTTGAGAATTTTATTTCTTCCACCTCACAAGAACTTATCTAATTTCTACCAAAGAAATCCCTATATATATACAAAATACATTTTTCATTATTTTACAGTTAATTTATATGTAAAGACCCTGATGAGATGGCAAATAGATCTTGGAATATTTCTGTCTTGTAATTCCCTTTTTTCTGTCAGTTGAATCAGGCTGTTGGTTTTTCGTACATTAATGTTTTTTTCTTTTTCTTTCAGATAAAATTTAGGATGGTCATGACATTATGAGGCAGTTTTTGAAAATGTTAAAAATATTGAAGTGGGTATAATGGGTTAAATTGATTTAACCATGAAACTTTTGTTTTTGTTAATCAAGAGTAAAAATAGCTACTGTTTTCTATATATTTCTTTATAGATAGACCTTTGTAGGTGTTGCATTAGCCTCAGTATAGGTAAAAGGTAAAAAATCAGATTAGTGAGCTTTGAATTATTGTTTTATTATATATTATTTTTCTTGAATAATCAAAATGGAGAAGCTGGAGGCCCAAACTAATATATATATATATATATATATATATATATATATATATATATATATATATATATATATATATATATATATATATATATATATATATATATATATATATATATATATATATATATATATATATATATACATACAATATCAGCTTGTAGCTTTATTAATATTGTACCAGCAAGAATTTCAAATTGCTTTAACCATTGCTATGTGTTTCATCCAAGAGTGGCAATAATTTCTTTCCAAATATTTTTTTCACAATCTGTTGATTTATGGGTTGAATCAAATTATGTCTCTAGATGTTTATATACAGCAAAATGTACATATTGCTGTATTTGGCTTCAAACAAGGTGCCAGAGTGCTCAATAGGCTTCAATAAAACGTCCCTGTTTTTCTGCTATAGTTTTAGTTTTATTTTGTAAAATAATGAACAAAGGGTAATGCATGGTCTATAATAAAAAAATGAAAGCAAAAAACCCCCAGAAATTATTGACATACAAAACGAATTCTTCAAGATAATCCAAAAACACAATAATGTATTCGCATGCAATATGTAAATCAGTTCAAATTGTCTCTTTCTGCATACTTCTCTCATGTGAGAGAGGTATGATGTAAAATAAACTGTACGCTTATTTTGCAGCAAGGCCATTTTTAAAAGATAGTCCTATATTTGTTTTAAATGTATGAAGAAATAGCACCGCCACTTTGGCATGTTAGGGGTCTGTCAAACAAACACATCCCTGAAACGCAAAGCCCATTGATTGACAGAAACGTGGTCCAATGGCAGTACAGAATTTCTGTCACTGACCAATCAGCGTCAACCAGGTCAGGCGTTGTGTGTTTTGCTCTTGTCAGTGGTGCAGAGGGTTTACGATGGCCGCTTCCTTGGAACAGTGTCTTAAGAGGCTTTTCTTCTTTATATTGACATGCCCCCTCTTTGTTATAGCCTTTTTGAACTTGGACGAGCTAAATGAAATGAAATATGGGATTCAAATTCTTCCTGACCCCGTAATGTTGGGGCAGGTAAGTGAAGTCGTTTCAGACGCTAACGGTAACATCTAGCTTGCTAGCTAAGATGTAATCGAGTGCTTTTTAAATATGATTCCTTGGTATATTCCCATTATTTAAATTGCATTAAAGCGAGAAAGTCTGTTGGTATATAATGAGATGTTAAGACATTTTGATAATTCACAGTGTTAAGGTTTACGGAATAGTTTTGAGTTTATATGCGTATCTATTTGCAACAGCTGTCATTACACCTTCCTCACAGGTAGCTTCTCTGTGTCATCGTTTTACATCACAAGCACTTTACTTTCAGGAAACTTCTGTTCTAGCTTGCTAAAAGTCCTTATTCAGTGCTCCTATGAAGAGTTATTGTAATTGTTTTGGCTGTCTTCCTGTTTCAGACTAAGACAGAGGAGGTCATGATGGTATCCAACAAGTACAAGCAGCTCTATGAATGTCGACTTCCAGCTCAGGCAGTCCGATTTCACCAGGATCCTGCTTCCGAACCCGACTCGCAGGGCTACACTGGACCAGACATCCCTGACCTTCTCAAGCCAATGCACAAAGCCCCCTGTCTTATAAAGGTTGGTGAAAAAGCTCTGTCTGTATCAGCTTATTATTTGTAATCCACTTGTCAAATGCAGGCTGTTCACATAAGCAAGAGATTAGGGGGCATTAATTTCCATCTACAGTGCAGTGATAATTGCCTTTGAGCTATTACACCTACATGTTGCATGTTAAAATATGCCAGTGTTACACACTAGCATGTTACAATATGCTAGTGTGTCAGGAAAGTTAAGAAAGATCTGGAATCTAATCAGGGTAGCCTTATTTTGACCATGTGTATGTTGAATAATGCTATATTTTTAGTTAGATTTAGGGTTTATGATCGAAAATTCAAACTAAATGTTGCATGCAAAAAGCTTAATATATATCCAATATACAGAAATGTGTATAATAACATGTATAAGATTAAAACCAATTTTCATTACAACATAAATACTCTAGAACAGAGGTCTTCAACAGGGGGTCTGAAGAGGTACTGCATGGTGGTCCTAAAAGTTTTGGTTGATTAGACTTGTTTTATATCCCCCCCCCCCCCGCAATTTTTTCCACTAATCTTTAAATACACATTAACAGGAATTCAACACACTGTACTAAGCAGATAAATTGAGACAGAAAATGTCTTTCAGTCATCAATGCACACATTCAGCGACACACAGGAGCTCTTTCAAGCTGGGCACCATTTCATTCACCTGTCCCATTAACAAGGAATCAGAATCAGAAATACTTTAATAATCCCAGGGAGGAATTACTTTTGTTACATTACTCCATCTGTAATAGAGTGACTATAGCACCAGTTTAATTCAACAAAATTTCAAACAATAAATATATAATTATGGGGTCCCCACTCCATCTCGCCGTCAGTTTGGGGTTCCTTGGCCGGGAAAACGTTAAGGACCCCTGATCTAGAAAGACCAGACCTCACAATATCCTATATTCAATCCGTCTCAACCGCACTATTTTTAAGCTAGTTTGTGCTACTAAGATAACCCCTTTTTGATAAATGCCTCTATAATGAGGGAGATGCTTTATAAAAATGCTTCACATTTAGAAGTTTACATAGTTTTTCTACATATTTTGTAGAATGAACTTCAACTGTATGACCTCGGTCAAACTTTTACAAATAGAGAGAGAAAAATCTAATCCTTACTACAAAAACTTCTAATCAGACCTAATATCAGAAACTGAGAATGAAAGGTTGTGTGTCTTTTTATTTATGTAAATACCTAGCCTTAGCTGTATAGTTTATAACTTTATTGCTTATACATTTAATATACACTCTTTTTTTTAATATTAATTAATAACAAGATCATTTTTGACATGTTTTCTATTGATTAAAAGATGCTGAATTGAGCAATATGCTAACTGCTGTGTTTAACTATTGCAGACAAAGGATTGGTGGACATATGAATTTTGTCACGGACAACATATTAGACAATATCACCTTGAAGGTAAAAAAAAAAAGTCCCTTATATTCCATTTTTCTATTTTTCCAATTGCCAAAAAATGCTTTCTCTGTTTAGACTAAAACTGTCTTCGAACTTCTGTAAATCAACGACTGTGGCTTTGTTTCTGTTCCTCTATTGCATCTTGAAAAAAATATTTTTTTCTCTTTTTTTTATGTTTAACCCAGTTAAGTTTTCTAGATTCGTAAAAGGATTTAAAACATATTGCATTTCTGCTTTAAAATATCTATAGATGTTTTTAGGGCTGCAACAACGAATCGATAAAATCGATAAAAATCGACTTTTAAAAGCGTTGGCAACGAATTTAATCATCGATTAGATGTGTCGCGCGATTAATGCGTCATCCGCCGCCGCCGTCATCCGGGGGAAGAAAAAAAAATATGGCGGAGCGAGTCAGCGCAGCAGTTGCAGTGTTGCCAACTCAGCGACTTTTCAGACCCCTCCAGCGACTATTTTTCAAAAAAGCGACTAGCGACAAATCTGGCGACTTTTTACGGTGTCACTGGCGGCTTTTGCCTGCCGTGGGGCGCCTCCCCCATCCCAACCCCTTTCTCCCTCTCCCACAGGAATCCCTCTCAGCGCTGCAGTCAGAGCCGCAGGATTTTAGTGAGGAGTTTACCCTCAGCGTCCAGACTGCAAATGAAGCACGCATGCGCCGTGATTGACGGCGCAAATTGATCACAATAATTAAAATAGCCTGCGCTTTGTAAAGTGAAAAAAGTTGTAACATGCAACTTTTGTAAAAACAAATGAACATGGCACGCAAGCACCACTGTTATGACGCAGCACCTGAAAAGAAAACACGTTGGAGCCTTCAATGGCAGTGAGGAGAGCAGATCAGCAGGATGAGTAACCATGTTTGTTTCGTTTTAAAGTGGGGAAACGTAACATTAGTTTCTCAGGTAGCTCATCTGATGCTTTCCTTACCGTGTTAGTAGGTTACAGACAGTGATAAGGTTGGCTACTTATTTTACTTTTAATTTCATTTGAATTAGCTTAAGCAGCATTTATATTTTCTTTATAAATAAATTAGCTTGCAAATTATGAGGGCAAGGCTTTTAAAGTTTAAATCTTCTGGCAAAGATAAAGTAAAGAAGATCCTGCAATTTATGGAAGTAAAGCAGAATAAAATCCAGCAAGATCAGTAATATGTCAATTAATTATATGCCACATTCCCATGTAAATATCTGTCTTTGGAGGATGTGTTTTTTAGCACCCCTAGTTCTCTCATTTTTATTCCAAATACAATTTATAATTTGAATCACTGGGCTATTTTTATCTCTATGGTTCAGTATTTTCTCAAGTAGCAACTTTAACTGCTATACTTTCCTGTTTTAAAAGGCAGAACTCTTCTAGTCTAAAAAAAAACTCATTTGTTAAAATGGGGGGGCCTATTGTTTGAACCCCTTAGGGGCTTTTAAAAACAAAAATGTATTTTTTTACGCTTTATGAAACAAAGTACCCAATATTTCTCATGTAAGTTTGCGTAGTTTTAACACAAACATTTATTTTTCATATTGCACCAGTACAGTTAATTAGCAACCTGTACTTGTGTGCTTGTTTGTTCTGTCTAAAATGTTTATCTTGGAATAAAGAGGTTAATATAAAAAATATTTTTTGTCCGATTCATCGATTAATCGAAAAGATAATTGGCCGATTCATCGATTTTTAAAATAATCGTTAGTTGCAGCCCTAGATGTTTTTAACTTTATTCTGGAATGCTATCAAACAGTCATGAAAAATGATTTTAATAACTGGAGTTTTTTGCATGACAAAAAATGATGCAAAACAAACCACTGGGTAATTTAGCTTTGTAAGTCTGTCCAGCTCAGCTATTTACACTGACAGTTTGATGCTCAGTTTTCTAACAAATGAAGTTAATTACAGCAAAGTTTCTCTGTTTTTTTTTTTTTTTTTAGACTCTGAAATTAAAGGGGACATTCTTTTTCTGGGACACTATGAGTCTGAATTTGATTGGAGCAATGAAACAGCAAAGGTACGGCTGCCTTATTGTCAGATGAATTGCATGTTGTTAACATTAAACCAATTTCTTTGCAAAAAGCAGTTTAATGAATTCACATTTCACCTCTTTATAACCACCTAGTTTATTGTATTTTATTGAGTGCTGGACCAACACATTGTAGCACATACTAGCATTGGTACTCTGATGCAAGCAATTGGCTTCAGACATCTTCTGTTTACAAAACTTGATCTGTCTGTGTTTAACTTGATGTCAGGATAAGTCCATCCATTATTTTAGAGTGTCGGAGGTTTGTTAGAAAACATGAGTAAAAAAAGACCAAGCAATACGGCTGACACTTTGGGGAGAGAGTTGTGCAGAAGTGCTACGCAGAGTCGGGTTAAAAAACTATATACAGGTTTGAAAATCTTATGAGCGTAACTATAAACCCACTAGGTCATGGCCACCTGAGCTTTAGTCTAGGAGAGCATTTGAAGAAACCCTAGTAGCTGTGAAAGAGCTACAGTGATCTACAGCTTTGTGTTGCAAATCTATGGATGGACAAGTAAGAATAGTGTGCTTTCTCAATGGAAAAGCAGCATGAAGAAAGACAATACTTTTAGGTATTCCACATGTGCTGTAGAAAACTGATCAAACAATTGGAAGAAGGCTTCTTTGAGAATACATCAGTAATGTTTTCTGTGGTGGTTAGGGGTTGTCAGGGCATGTTTTGCCGAAATGTGCAGATAAGAAACCTGGTGGTTAACGGACAGTGTAGGGCTAGAACTAACGATTATTTTGAAAACTCGATTAATCTGTTTATTTTTTTAATAATCAGATAGCCAAAGGTTCCTTAAAAAAGGCTTTTTGCAAATTTAACCCAGGTGAAGCTAAGACTTTTCTACTTGAAGAGTTCTGTATAGAGCATTTTGACAGACTAAAAACATTTTTATCTTGAATACAAAATGTTTACATTTTTTTCTTTTTTCACAATTTTGGTTCGTTCTCTAATTTGGTTGCACCGTCAGCTAAAGGCATGTTGTAGAGTATCTATACTCCAAAGGGATCAAAGTATTCCAGCCCCAGGCCGAATTTCCAACTCGTAGCAATTGCGCGTGGGTAAAAAAAAAAAAAAAAAATCACTCGCAAATAAATTGACGGTAAAAAAAAAAAAAAAAGACATTCGAAAAATTCGAAAGAGGAGGGAGGCTGGGGACCGGTAAGGCAGGCTGGGGGAAGCACAGGGCCGCTGGTGTCCAGGCTACAGTTACGGTCAGGTTCAGTCGCTCCGTCCCCCGTCGACTCCCTGTCCTTGTCCCCCTGGGTTCCTTACGGCTCTGTTTGAGTTCCCGGTGTGTTTCGACCACGTGCTGCACTGTAGTCGACCAAAATCCCAGACGATTTTGAAAAATATTTTCCCATTTAAACTAATGTCAGTTTTGAAATGAACATTATTGTTTGATTTAATCAAATGCTTTCTAGAAGTCAGTTGATACAGTTGATGCATCCTCTTCCTCCTGTAGCAGATGAATTAGGAAGTGTAACTGTTTGCCCAAGTAGTAGCTCAGGATAATCTTTGGATTATCTTTGGCTCATGTTTCTCTTCTCCACCACAACAAACACACTTTTGGTAAGGATCATCATTACCAGACCACAAGAAGGCAGCATAAGATCTCGGTGTTTAAAACCACTTACTGCGAATGTTTAATGGATTCTATTTTTATTGTTTGTTGAGCAACATGATTATTTTAAAAGCAGGTTTTACTTCTTGAACTTCATTGCCCTTTAAATTTAGGTCACCTTCCATAGGGGATGATTGATATCAAAGCTAGTTTTTGAAAGCAATTTATGTTACCGTATTTAACATTTGTATTACTAAACTTAAGTAAAAAAAATCTCAATCCAATTTGGTAAGAATAAACTGGAGATTAGATATTTAGGCCACATCAGCTAGCTCTAGGCTGAGGTAGTTTGACATATAGAAATAGGTTTATTTGTTTTGAAATTAAAGATGGCTTTACACAAGTACACTACACACTAAAGCTGAACAATGAACAGTATTAATCTTGACTAAGAGATTATTGACTTAATTATCAACTAATTCAGTAATTGATTTGTCCTTTACTAGAGTATAAAGGCTCTAAATCATGCCATTTAGCTGACAAAGCAACTCATGTAGAGGAGTAATTATACCAAAAAATGGGTATCGTTTTCCTTTAACTTTATAAATCTGATCTATGTTGTGTTGGTCTTTCACATGAATTACCAATAAAACAAACATAAGTTGATGGTTATAATGTGACAAGATATGAACATGTTTAGCAGATTTGATCATTCTACAAGGCACCTTGTCTCTGTAATAATCAGCTGTAAGATATCCTTTTGATGTTTTCCCTTCCTTTCCTCATCTTGCAGGCCTCTAAACAGCACAAGCTGAAGCGGTACCACAGCCAGGCTTACGTTAACGGATCCAAGTGTGACCTAAATGGAAATCCTCGGGAGACTGAAGTCAGGGTGAGACTTGATTGACCACTGCTGCACTTCAAGAAAAGGAAATGTCATAAGAGCTGTACAAAACAAAATTTCAATAAAGTTTGTCTAAGTCTAAAAGTCTTTTGAATTTAGGAAAGTTCTATAATCGATGTAACCCAAGGCTCAAGTTACAGTTTGTTTTACACCCAGATTTTTTTTGTGTAAATCTTACTGCCTGTAAAACTTTCAATTATTAGAAGACATCCCTTTCATTGGTATTTAAAGTCCTATTCACAATACCAATATTTATAATCCTTTGACACTGTTTCTAGTTTGTTTGTGAAGAAGGCTCGAGTGACTACATCGCCCGAGTGGACGAGCCACAATCATGCCGCTATGTTTTGACTGTTCACACCAGTCGCACCTGCCAACATCCCTTTCTGCGGCCGCCGTCCTCCTCCAAGCCGCAGGGTATTGTGTGTCAGCCTGCTCTGAGTGCACAGCAGTACATGGATTATGTGAAAGCTCAAGTCTGTGAGTGAACTAAAACACAAGGTTTAAGATGTTGTGCTGAATAATTTTGGATAGAAAGAAAAAACAATATTTCCTGCTATTGCTGACATATATCAGTGTGTTTATGAACATACAGTGATATTGCTTACAATGATCAAACCTCCCAGGATGTTCACTGACGTTTCGGCTGTTTTCTTTCTCTCCTGTCTGTTCCCAGCGGACACAAAGCGTAAAGTGGAGCAAATCTCAGAGGAGCTCAAGAGCCTTGATGAGATGTTGGCTGGTAATGAAGTTGCAGATGGAACAGTGGAAGTAACAGCAGAGGAGACCACATCTCCCACTATCAACAACCCAGACACATCAGTTGGTAAAGCTCCACAGAGTTAAACCTAAAGGACTTAAATTACATGTTTGTTACATGTTACATGTGAAAATATAAATTGTTTATATTTTCAATGCATGTATGGTTTTCTATATGCTGTTTTAAAACAGGACAGGCGGATGTGTATGAAGAGGCAGCGTCTGAAGACGTGGGCGATGCAGAATTTTGGGATGGTGTAACAAAACCGGAAAAATCGACAGCTTCTCAACAAGAGAATGAGGTACCGAACTATACAAAGACACTAACATCAGAGTAATCCTTTCAAATTTGTATTTTTTACATGCCATTGTGTGTTGAATATGTTTGGACACAATGCAAAACTATTTGTTTAATTTTCAGCAAATGTAAAAAAAAGAGGCAACATGTTTAGGAAACACTGTCTGCTATTGCTTCTGTTGCTGCACATTGTATACAAAAGTATTTTCCTCTAAGAAGTATATCTTAAGATTTCTTTTCAGCATACAAATGCTAGTTCCCCTAATATGAGGAAGAAAGAGACAAGATTAATATCTGAATTGTAGGTTTTAATGAATCTTCTTAGGTTTCTAAGGGTTTTATTTGGTCAAGATTTACTTACAGGAAACAACCAACCAAAGAGCCAAAATTATTGATATTGAATAAACCTTAATTGCTTGAGAAGAACTATACCTCTACTTTGGAAGAGTTTCATTTTTGTACTTAAATCCTTTATTTATAGTTCATTTAATGTGTATGAACTATTAGACTGTAAAATGAAGGTTGTGGTTAAGTTTAGTGTAATTTTCATCTTAGCGTACCCTCCAAACTCAGCAGAAAAACACAGACAGGCTTCTATAATGTCTTTGAATCTGACCCAAGTAAGTATATAAGAAAGGACACAACTGTCAAATGTCTCTGGTTAATAAAAATATCTTATTTTATTTCAAACTTTCACTCTCCGCCACTAGAGGTTGTACTTTTTCTTTTTTTTTTTGTTCTATTAATCTCATTCCACAAATATTTCCCTTAAAGGTGGTGGATGATGACTATAACTCTCCAGCAGACAACGAAGCCGAAGAAGGTACTGTTTTTTTTATGATACAAGGGAAAACAGTGGGATGAATTAACATAATAACATAATTTTATTATAGGTACTTTAGCAAGACAGAAGGTCATAAAATACTCCCAATACATTTTTAAATCAAAATAAGCTTAAGAAAACATTGTCTAGTGTCCCAGAAGCTTATTTTAACCTAAACTGAAACTAAATCAAAGTTTTGTTATCAAATTCAACTTAAAGACAGTTAACAGAGGCACATAGTGTATAAAGGACTGTAGTGCACTGTTTTAGTGGAGGGAGGGGCTTGGTCAGACACTAAACTCAGAGTTATTGGTGCATGTGTTGCAACCAACGTCTCCTACAAGATAAGAAAAAAAGAAAAAAGGTCTGAAAAGTCGCTTAACATATCAACAAAGTCACTGAGATGGCAACACTGTTCTCACCTGACTCGGTGAGCCAATGGCAGTCCAGCGCAGGGTTCAAGTTTTCACAGGGTTCCTTTATGTTTATGTTCCAACAAGGAGGTGCATAAAAAAAAAAAAAACACTGTATCCACGGCCCGATCATTAAAAGTCAGAGTTTCGACATATCTCCGTTGTAGTTCTAAAAGTACCCTAACCAACATCAATCAATGGGGGGAGCTCCACAGCAAATTTTTCCCCCTATTGGCATCAACCAATTTTTAAGCGCAAAAGCGAGTAAAACTCTCCCTGCACAGGGAATATGCTATTTTAAATGTGTTCAAATGTCTAGTGGATGAAAAAGTAGTAGAATGAAAATTTCCTACACTGCACCTTGAAAAGTAGTTTGCATTCATGGTCTCTAGACGAGCAGATATATCTTAGATTTCTTTAGAAAAACCTCACAAGGCATCATGGGATTTGTTTTGGGGAGGAGGGAAAGATAAAAGATGGGGCAGGCGCCATGCTGAGATGAAGAGTCAAAAAAGTAGTAGTCATCTGTCTGAACGTTCAGTTAACTGAGTGCATTATAAGGTGAACTACTCTATATAGTGAAGGTTTGACGCTCGGACACGGCCAGTTTTCTACCACACTTTTTCCTTCTTTTTCCCTCTCAAATTTCCTTGGAATAGGTCATGACACATAAATCTGAGTGTTCTGATTTTTTTGAGCATCTGACCCTGTGGTCATTGGTTATTCCTGTTTCCTCCATGTAGAAAGATTCAACTTTAAAATCATCACTGACCCAGCAGATCTGATTAAGTTTGTTCAACATCTTAAGGAGAGTAACAGGAAGGTCAGTACTCTCACTTCTCATTTACCATTTTTCCTTTTTGAGTGTGTGTGGTGTACAGAGGAAGCTCTCTGATATTATTGTTACAGAAAGCTGAAAACCTGGCGAGAAGTAGAGAAGAGAAACCAACGGGGGACACGCATCCAGGGAAGCTCAGAGGAGAGGAGAAAGACGAAGATGAACGGTTACTAGAGGAATTTGAGGAGGAGATGGCTGACGTCTCTGTGCCTTCTGAGAAGATCGAAGAGATAAAAGAGGAAATGCAGAAGGAGTTCGATAACATCATTGATGAGGTTTCAGACTTGCATACTACTGGTTATTACTACCTGCATATTACCAATTCATCTTATTTAAAAAATATTTATGTAGTCATTCTGTTTGTTTGGTAGGCCCAGCAAGAACTTGAAACAGAGGGTCTAAAGGGGGAGTTCGATCGCACTCAGGCAACACAGGCTCTTGAGACGACATTGGATAAGTTGCTGGATCATCTGGAGGAGAAAGATGTTCAAGATTCAGAACAGCAGAAGGTCCAAAGAGCCAGTGACCCGAGCCGAGGCAGCCCCAGCCTGGCTCCTAAGCAGCCAGGTAAAATTTCCAGGCTGTTGAGTCCTGGACTGCTGCCATTATGTGCACGTTTGTCATCATCACCAGTCATTTACGATCATCAGTGATGTTATGTTCTTCATCTCAGAAAACAGAGAACATGATGCAAAGATAAGCGATTATTTTAGATTGAACTCTGATTTGGTTGAAGGTCTTTTTTTTTCCTGCTGCCATTATTAAATTTGGGCTGCTTAGTTTTTTTTTTATTAATAAAATCAGAACTAAAATAACTGAAATCCAATAGGTGATGTGAATTTGCCACAGCACAAAAATTTTGATTTTAAACAGGTTTATTGGGACAGCGCCCCCCACCTGTGACCCTCCTGACGGGTTTTAAGGTGAATTCTCTCTTTTGTCCCTCTTTTGTCTCGTCGCCTCAGACCAAGCAGCTGACGACCACGTTAAGATCAAAATTACTAAGTATAAGACGGGCAGCAGCCCTGATGGTGAGGTCAAAGTTCAGGAGATGGGCGAAGGAGACCCCCAATGGCAGCACATAAAGGACGTGGTTAAAGAGCAGCTAGAGAAAGCAGGACTAAAGGCTGAAGGTATGGAGGGGTGGTGCAGCTATACACACAGCCTTTTCTCTTTTTTTCCATCGCCTGTCTTTGGTTTTTATCAAGATCTGTCTCCTTCCATCTAAACTTTACTCGATTTATATAAACTTCTGAAATGTTGAACCTTGAAAAATGGCAATAAATCTGGATTACATCCTGAAATATTTTAACAGATGGCAGCTCTAGAATGAAGCTAATCAAAAGGCTATATAGAGATGAAGGGTTTATCATCCATGTGTCTTTTTTATTTCCACCCTTCTGTTTGCTTCATATTCATTCTAAAAATCTATATTTCAGTTATATTGTTCCTAAAATCTTTGGGTTTTCATGTTTTTTTCCCCTTGTGTTGTTAAGGTAAAATTGAGGTGAAGATTCTGACGCGAAAAAATGCGGAGGAGGCAGGGGATCAGTGGCTGACTGAAGAAGATACAAAGTCCTTCAGGGAGCTGCTCATGAGTCTCCTGGTATTTATTACTCTCATTTGTTGAAGCAGATTTTAAACACAAATTGCTTTTGAAAGCATGCTGGCTGTGGAGCTGGTAGGAGGATTAATTTTCTGTAGATTTTAATATCAATCTATTGATTGCAAATCATTTCTGAAAATATAATGTAGTTTGCAGTTTATTTGGTAATTTGACAGCAGTTGGGATGCAGCAAAGTATTGGGTGTATCAGTTTAAAGCAGAGAAGCCATGTCGACTCTGGATGGTTGTATGGCGTTCAAAGGTTAGGCAAATATGTGAAATCCATTAAGGTTAGGGATGCAAGTTATAAATTAAAGGGGAAATAAAACATTCAACCAAACTAACTAAATTCATGAGATTGTGTCTTAATATTATTTATACTTAAATTACAAATGTGAAAAATATAAACAGAAAAGGAAAAAAAACAAAGATTTGTTTTATAATTCTTTTGGTAAGGGCGCCTCCATGTTGCTGTACCTCTAATGGTGATGTCATGGGGTTGATTAATGCTAAAGCAAAGAATTAAATACGTTGGATATACCGGCAATAAGCCATAAAACTTTTAAAACATTTGGTATGATGGAAGAAGAAGCTGAAAGGACACTGAAGCCTTTAAATCACATTGTTTATGCTTTTGAGCACATTCACCGTGTGACTTGAGCTGTAGGAAGGAGAGAAGAGGCAGTTTTGGATCCGGGTTAGTTTGATTCAACATAAACATAAAGTTAATCTTGAGACAACAATGAATTACCTTGAAGTTAAAAGATCAACCAGGGATAATTTAATGAGCAGAAATGTTCTTAAATTTTGAATTTTCTGTTGTATCAAGACGATCTTTCCATAACATGAAGGGCTAAATATATTTTTACTATATGCTGAGTTAGGAAAAAAAATGGTAGAATATATATTAACTATTTATTGTTTGAACTGTATTAAGTTTTGACTGAATTAACAAACAAATGTGTTATCACACATTAAGATTATTTATAAGAAAAAACAGGAACCTATGAGATGAAAAAAAAAAAAAGTAAATGGCCATTTCTCAGTATGTGTACTTGTGCATTCTCATATGCTCATGTACTCGTGAAACGTCATCAGCCTCAGCCCTAGCACTGTCCCGATCACAAGAACACAAGGCCGAGAACGGACAAAGTCCCCAGATGTTGTTCTCGCCCATTAGAGCACACTTGAAAGCTGTCCCAGCATGCACGGCGGCAGCAGCAGCAGCTTCCAGGTTGGCACTCACAGAACTTAGAGTATGAAGTTGAAAGTTCTCTTTTCTGTTGCCTTTGTACTATAAAAGTACATCTTTAGATCATTTAAGGCGAGAACATTATACTCTTAAGCTTAGTTATATTGCCCATTTACTGATTTAGTGCGTAATTTAAAAAAAGTTCAGATGTTGCAACCAGCGGACCTCAGTCGAACTGCAGCCAGAGCTAATTTTAGCCCGTCTGCAGCAGCCCTCTCTTGGCATTGCTGTGTGTGAAGTACCGCTGGCTCTGATGGCGATTGTTATTTTTTATTTATTTTTTTTGTGGCAAAACTATAATTTTATTTGTCTTTTTTCTGTCTGTATTAATTATTATTTCCCCACTTAAGTAAGAATTTTATAATTATCTAGAGACTGTTCATAACAGGAGGTTAAATGCAGCTTCAGAGTCCATATTTTCCTGTGTTCTTCTCTAGAACATACTTTGTGAGGACGGGAGTCTGTACTCGTGTTCTTGTGAATTGAAAAACAACCTATATGTTACCTTGTTTCCATAGTAACAGTTTTATAGTTCTGTTTTACTGTAATGCACAATCTGGGGGAAGAGACTTTTTACTCTTAGCAGTTCTGAACAGGTTATTCTGGTTGCTCTCAGAGAAATGATAAAGGTCGCTTTCATGAAATGCTCCAGGAAGCAAAAGCCCTCCCTATCTATCATGCTTCTATCATCATATATGTTTTTGTGCAAACTCCTTCCCCTTTTTCATCATTATTCCTGGCTTTTCAAGCACAACAGAGAGAAAGTGCTGCTGCATGAAGAAACAGTACAGTGGGCACTACTTGGGTGATAACTTAAGGAGTTTATCAACTGTTAATATTTGCAAACAGAACTACCGTAGATAAATTGCATTCTGCGTCCTTTTCGCCATAAAGTAGCATAATTCATCCTGGATCGGACTCACAACTGATTCCTGGTTTTATTTTTAGCATTCCTTCCTCTGTTCTGGTGTTACAAATAATAGAGATGCAGCTTAACTATAAACGGTGCCCCCATCTAGTAAGTGGTAACATTACAACACTGCAAACATTCTGAATGTTATCATTTAATCTGATGGACCAAATTTTTATCTAATAGACTATTAATCAACAATTAATTTTAATTTCATTTTTTGTGTACATCCATAGTAAATATTGCTCAGTGATAACGGCAACGTTATTATCGGATATCAGCCCATATTTTCATATGTGTAGATCCTTACTAATGTATTCTAATTGTTTGAAAACTTACCTACAGTAGACCTTTTAGGCTTCTTTATTTTGAATGAATACAGGTTTATGCAAATGCCATTTCATTAACTTTTAAAACCAACTCCTATTTTTTAATAATTGATCTGGTAATAACTTGCACTATGAAGGACTGTAATAGGCTTTGTGCCATCATCCTGATTTCCCTTTATGAAACATTGTGAGGACAGAACATTGCTTTATTAAGTCCCTCCTCCTTTATATGAGACAGTTCTTCTAGATATGATCAAAAAATATTCTTCTCTTACATAGAAATAGTTCATTGTATAAACCCTTAGAACTCTCTGGGCTTAATTTAAATAATTCCCAAATTTAAAAACTAAAACATTAAGTGGGTCTTATATTTACAACTGAATGATTATCCTCTGAAATTACCTCTGAAAAGCAGTGTTAAGTGAGGAAACCTAAACCTAAATTACATATTCAGTGTTTTCTGTTTCTAAATTCCTCAGAACCTGCAAGGGCTTGTTCCAAAGTCAAATGAATCCTGCTCTCATAGCTCATGCATTTCCTGTTTACTTGTTGTCAGAAGGCACATCCAACATTATTGACTTAAAATTTTTTTTTCTGTTTTTTATTTCATAGTTAAGTAAAAAAACAGCAGATTTACCTGAGTTCCAGCACTATACATTCCAAACTGGATTAAAAAGATTTCCATTTCAGGGCACTCACCTCAGAGTTTATAGATCAAATTTCATGTAGGCAGGGCTAAATCCTCTCCAATAGGCTGATTGCACATCAGAAGGATTGTATAAGTAAAAAAAAAAACTAGAAACAGGTCATTATACCATTAAACGGTGTGTGTGTGCTTGCATGAAATATGTATATCCCAGCTTCATTCAATAAATAAAATTAATGATTTGTAAGAAGTTACACCATGGTTCATGACTTAACATTAGAAAAAAAAAACAGACCTGCAGCTGAAACTGCAATATTTTTTGCTCTCCTAAGCTTCATGTTAAGCAGCTGAAAGTGTTGTATTTACAATAAAACTTGTACCGGTATTTAGGACATGAAAAGTAGTACCGTAATCCAAAAGGAAAACTGAGAAATGCAGAAGCAGAAAAACAAAAGGAAACCAAACTACGGAGGCATCAGGTAAATGATCAGTTAGGTTGCCCAGAGTTGAGGATTTTTTTAAAGAAAATATTCATAACTATCATATCTTCACTTTTAGGAAATAAGAAACTCTTGGTTAAATGCAAGAACTGTTGTGTTAAGCTTAGGAAGTGACAGGTAAATTAGGCTCCTTTCGTTGAAAAGCTCCATTTTAAAATATAGTTTAACAAATGCTTTGCTATTTGTGCCTGATGATATCCTCGTCAGGATTCCAACCCTCATGTTCAGCATAACCGGCAGGGACTGGAAAAACTGGGATAATTTTTGATTGTTCGGCAGAGCTATCAATGAGGTCAATTGCAATCTACCAAACAGTTTAACAGCTGCATCCCTCACGGTTTGCTGTTGGCATGAAAACATAGTGCAGCAAAAAGAATTAGTCCTTCCTATGTTGTATGAGCAATTTTTAGCATATTTAATAAAAATATAAAAATGGGCTGTAGTTGTAACTGGACAATATGGCTGGAAAATATATCATTATATAAGCATTTTTTTTATTTTTATCAGTCTATGAATAATTATTACCGATAAGTGTTTTGTTTTACTATTTGAAAAAAGGGCCAGGGCGAAAAAGCTCAAAATTAAATTGTAACCCCGTATAAATATAAGAGTTTAACTTTAAAAATTGCTGGCTTATTTTGCCCATGAGAGGCGAAATCATTTCTCTGCTTACATCCCTCATAATGCCATGTTGTCTTTGATCAGAGTGCAGTGGAATATTTAACATTTTTATTGGAAGTATTTTCTATTGACATGGATGTACATTGATTTATTGCCCAGGCCTAACTGTGGTGAAAAATGTTAGTGCTTAAAAATCTATTAATGCGGAAATGAAAATGCATCTTGATTGCAAGCAGTGTTTCCTTTCAAACAACTACAGGTTCTTCCAGTAAAGGACATACCATGCCAGGTCTTAGATAAAAAAAAAAAAAAGGATAAGTTCAACAAATGCTGCTTACTAGTCGCTTCACAGATTAACTTGCAGTAGCAAAACAAAGAACTCAGGATATGGAGATATTTACCCCTGAACTTCTAAGTTCTAACTTATTCTGCCTTTTAAAATGTGGCCCGGATGTGTATTATCAATGTTATTATGTACTTTTACGATGGATATCTGACTTTCTTGCAGTGTTCTAGGGCCTTTTGTACCAAAGAGTGTGCTGCTTTCATGCTGAAGTTTGCGATTGTAATACCCTTTTCCCACTGGCTGAAAAACCTACTTAAACCTGGGAACAATCTGCTTTTAGTGGCAGTGGGAACAGCTCACTGAAATGTGTCTACTCATGTCAAACAACTCGGCAAGTGACCCGCGTTAAAATCACCTCAGCTTTGATCGGCAAAATTTCTTGACACCAGTGAACGACAAAGTACTGACGTACACAACCGCCCCAGTTGGTTAAGCAGTTGAGCTTGATTTTTAATTACACAGAAAACCTCTTAATGACTGCAGAGGCAAACGACCCCTTTAAACATGCATGAATTCTGTATTAATCCTCTTTAATTGTAGTATATTGTTGTAAAGAATTCATATCTGTACTTCTGACATTTGGTCGGATTTCAATATATACATTTCCTTAAATTCCAGTAATGTTCTTTATATTTTTTTTGGACCTTGTCCTTTCTCCTCCCTTATCCTTTTATAGCTTCCATATAAAATGCCTGAGCTCTGTAGGAATATCTGCTATAAACCCACCCTGAACTGTTTTGTTTTACAGTATGAAATTACTGGAAAACCATTTCCAGACACGTATAAATTTTTTCAACGGCAAATCTGTTTTCCATTTCAAAATATCATTGTCACATGAGTTTTCTGTTATGATCTAGCCCTACTGTTGCATTTGGTCTACAACCTTCTATCCTTTGAAACCCCAGTTAATGGAGAACTTTTATTACAGATTCAGTGGTTAATGGTTGTTTAACGTCTACTGCTTTTATAGCTCTATGTAAGTAAGAAGGGATTGTCATTCAGGTAGAAACCTTGTGATCTTTGTTCAAACCGAATGTCCCAGTGGAGATTTAAGCCTGATTTATACTCAGAAACCAGGTTGTCTGCGTGTGTGTCGCAGTGAATGCTAATGTGCCCTCGCCCCCTCTGCAGACACTCTGCTGCAATTGTAGGTGAGCGCAGACAGTGCCGCACACAGGAGGCATCTGATTGGTCAAATCTACATCCGCTCTACACTGGGTATTTCCTGTTTGGTACCTTACCAGCTTGTTTTGATTGTATGACTGCCATTCGGAAAACGACTCGTTAAGTTCGACCAGCTAGAAGAGTGATGTGCACGAGAACGAGAACGGACCCTTTTCCACCTGGGTCTCCGCTCTTTTTCGCCCTCATGTGCCCCCATTGTCATACAAACTTACCCCCACTTCCTCACCACCTCGGCCGTATCTAGAACCACAGCTAGTTCTTTATTGTCCATATCTCTGACAAGCTCACTGCCACACACTGCTGCGGGAATATAACCAGCCCTTTAGAAGCAAACACATTTTGTCAGCCAAACAACTTTGCAATGCAAATAACATTGGATCTGACTGTCGGGTTTGTTTTCCATTTACTATCCTTTGTTTCACTCTGCAGACTGGAGGCACGGAGGAGGTTTATAAGGAGCAAAAAAGGCAGCAAGAGCTGGAAAACAACTACAGGTTTGTGTGGGGAGAAAGACAGGAGGATACCCAGTCACCCAGCTCATCGGACTCAGACGATGTGGACATTTGAGCTCACAATGAACAATCACCGACCTTGTTGTGATGAACTCCTATGGAGGCCAGCAATTGGTGGGACTAGTTAAAATACAAAGCCTTGTTAATCTGGTTGAACCTGTAAGTGATGTCCAACACAGCTGTTTGCACATTCAGAAAAGGATTTCACATGAAGTGGAAAGGCAATAAGTTGGTGTCTGTAAAAGGCAGCGTCCAGATGTTGCACAGTGAAAGTACGTTTTAGCTGTATTTACACAGTTAAATGAAGTTATGCATTTTCCCATTTTTTGATGGGATTGAGTTTATAAAGGTTGACAAACTCAGCTGAACTCAACATTTCCATCGAATTCTGAAGCTGCAAACAGTTATGCGCTCTTTATGCTGCCATTCCCTCCACTGTTCATACCTGTTATATCAGAAAACCGTTTGTTTGCCTGAATATTTGCCATGCTAAAAAGTATACAACATCAACAAGCAACATTAAAAACCTGATTTGTATTGTTCATCAAAAGACTCCCAGCCAGATGTGTCTTGAAAAAGTGTCTAATTTCCCCCCCCCCCCACATCTCTCCACACAGCTAAAAACTTTGAGTGTTTTATGGAGTTTTTATCTGACCGATCAATACTAAGAGATGTAAATTGTGAAGAAAACTGACTTTGTTTGAGTTCTTTAGTAATTAAAACAGAAGATATAGTTTACATCTTTATGCAGCTTCTTGGGTTTTAACATCATACCAGCATCAAAGACTAGATTAAAAGAAAGGGGATGAGAATAGTGATTTTCAAATAGCTCCTCTCTTCCCATTAACTCTCCCAGATGTGCCAATAACCCTGCCATAACCCTGTTAAACTACCAATTAGGGGACTTATGATGAGGATGATTGCAGAAAAGTAAACACTTTTCAGATACTTATTTGTAAAACTAATTTGAATTACCAGTCTCATTTTACTGCTGCTCCCAGCTTGGTGTTGATCTGTCAATTAGAATTCCAATAGAACACCTTCATGTCGTTATAACATGGCAGAACATGAAACTGTTTAGCAGGCACTTTATCTGTGCACAAGCCGCTGCAGCAACCAAATATGTTTTTTTTTTCTTCTGCCAAACAGACACTGTTAAAGGAGCCATTGCAGTGCAGCAGGATTTTCAAGCATTTGTTTTTGTCACACAAAAAAAGTTTAATTTATCTTAATAAAGCAAAGGAAAAGCCACTATTCCTTGTAAGATTTAGCTCGTGAAATGAATGAATTCAGATGTGGATTTAAAGGGCTGAATTTGCATAGTTTGAATAATTGTGCTTCTGGGAACTCTGTACATAATTGTTGTCAAAATATTTTGAATGTTTTGCTGGTATTGGCACATCTTAAGTGGTGATGGACTACTTCAGTAAATGTGTTTACCGGTTTACACTGTGTGCTTTTATTATCTAACGAAAAAAAATTCTTTCTTAGGGTTGGGCATTAAAGTAATTAGACGGTGAAGTCATTCAGGTAAAGTTTTTTCATTACTAACGTCACTAAATCAATGAAGATCATAGATCAAACTTTGGCTTTGGCTAACGTAGAGCTAAAATAGTTTGCATACTGTCAAGTAAATGTGGTCATAAAGCCCATTAAAATAAGGTAAATTTAAACAATTCTTTTTAAAACATTTGAACAAACTGCTTTTGGTTTTTACTTGCACCTTCATTTCCTACTGTGATTTAGTTGTAGTTTCCTTTCCATAGTGATTTGCTTGTATGGAAAAACCTCTCAGCCTTATCAGGACGAAAATACCTTTGAAGCAGGAACGTGCAGAGGGGGAGGTGACCCCTGCCCCCCTGCAAAGTACCCTTTTCTTCCTATTTTAGTTTATTAAATGTATCAATAAAGTTATATTCTTTATCTTTTAATGTGTTTCATAAGAGAAATGACATGTTAACTTTGATGAGGGCAATAATTGCCCTCTGCAATGAGACGGAGAAGAAGGGTGGAGCCAAAAATAAGTCCCTTTTGGTCCAGATTTCAGTTTAGTTTGTCAATAAAATAGTACATGGGAGAAATGTAATCTTAATACCTAAGCACACTTGTCAAACGACACCAGCTATTTTGTTTCTGCCTCTTCCCTGTTGGAGCTGTTTGAGCAGCAATGGGCAGGGAGGAGAAAGGGGAGGGCTCTATGCTCTCCCTGAAGGCAGAGTTGAACTGATGTGCAAAGATGCCGCCACTGATAAACTGATAAGGAGTAAACAACACTTGCTGCAATGTTTGCAGATGTCGGACCAAAGGCAGCTCCATCTGTGCCAACTTGCTCACTGCGCAATTATGCTTTGCCACAGTAAAAAAGGTAGTTCTCTAAGATGTGCAAGGAGAGTAACTGAGCGCTTGATCAACCCCGCTCTAATGACCCCCAATGTGCGCCATGTTTTTCTTTAAAAGGTTTGCCACATCAGTAAAGCTTTGTCCCTAAAGTGAAACATGAGAGCTTGATCACTACAATAGTCAGAGGAGCAAGAACTGAATAAATGAGAAGACCGAGCAGAAGGGTTGGACTAAGATTTCATGGGGTTCTTTGAAAACATGTCGTAAGTACTTTTTATTTTAATCCTTTTGCTTTAAATATCAACGTATTTTTTATATATATATATATATATATATATATATTGTATGCAGAATTATTAGTGAATATTTCGACCGATTTTGTCCTACTCCAAGCTGTATAGGCTTGGAAGCCAACTACCAATTAAGTAAATCAGTTGGTGTGCATCTCTGCATGAGAAGGGGTGTGGCCTAATGATATCAACACCCTATATAATGTGTGCTTAATTATTAGGCAACTTCCTTTCCTTTGGCAAAATGGGTCAGAAAAGAGATTTAACAGACTCTGAAAAGTCAGAATTGTCAGATGTCTTTCAGAGGGGTGCAGCAGTTTGGAAATTGCGTAGCTTTTGAAGGGGATCATCGTACAATCAAGCGGTTCATGGCAAATAGCCAACAGGGGCGCAAGAAGTGTGTTGAAAAAAGAAGACGCAAAATAACTCCCCATGAATTGAGAAGGATAAAGCGTGAAGCTGCCAGGAAGCCATTAGCCACCAGTTGTGCCATATTTCAGAGCTGCAACATGCCTGGAGTGCCGAGAAGCAAAAGGCCACCTTTGAACAAGAGACACAAGACAAAACGTAAAGATTGGGCCAAGAAATATCTGAAGGCTGATTTCTCCAAGGTGTTTAGGTCTGATGAAATGAGAGTGAGTCTTGATGGGCCAGATGGATGGGCACCAGGCTGGATCAGTAAAGGGCAGCAAGTTCCTTATTGACTCAGACACCAGCAATGTGGAGATGGGGTACTGGTATGGGCTGATATCATCAAAGATGACCATGTGGGACATTTTTGGGTTGCAATTGATGATGGAGTCAAGATCAACCCCAGACCTACTGCCAGTTTCTGGAAGACACCTTCAAACAGTGGTACAGAAAAAGTCGCCTTCATTCAAGAAAAACATGATATTCATGCAGGCAGGGGGGGATTTACCATTAGGCAATACTAGGCAGTTGCCTAGGGCCCCAAGTTCTGGGGGCCCCATAAAACTCTGTTTCCATGTATGGTTAATACAACTAATCCTTATTTGTGCACATTAATTGTGTTTTTGATAAAAATCCTTTGGCTAAAATGCCATCAGAACGCTGATAAATATAGAGGAAAAAGGGACAAAACCTAGAACAAATAATGGATGTCTATTCTATTAACATTTCTCTATCTGTAGAATGGGTCTGTTCTATGGGTTTTCTTCTCAGGGGGCCCCCTGCCTGTCTTTGCCTAGGGCCCCAAATTTCCTAAATCCGCCCCTGCATGCAGGACAATGCTCCGTCACACGCATCAAAATACACCACAGCATGGCTGGCCAGAGAAGTCTAAAAGGAGAAAAATAATGACATGGCCCCCTTGTTCACCTGATCTGAACCCCATCGAGAACCTGTGGTCCTTCATGAAATGTGAGATCTACAGGGAGGGAAAATAGTCCACCTCTCTGAACAGTGTCTGGGACGCTGTGGTGGCTGCTGCATGCAATGTGGATCGCAAACAGATCAAGACACTGACAGAATCTATGGATGGAAGGCTTTTGAGCGTCATGGTGAAGAAAGGTGGCTATATTGGTCGCTGATTTGTTTGTTTTTTAGTTTTTGAATGTTGCAAATGTTTATTTCTGAATTTTGAGTTGTTATTAGTTTACCTGGTAAAAATAAACAAGTGAGATGGGTATATATTTGTTTTTTTTATTAAATTGCCTAATAATTCTGCACAGTAATCTTAACCTGCACACAGACATCCTCATAAAATGGCCAAATCTAAAAAAAACAAACATACATTAACTTCCAAAAATATGAAAAGGAATAGTACACCCAAAACATGATTAGCCTTCATTTTCTACTCACCCCCATGCTGAACAACACTCTGGAGTACTTTTTTGATATCTCAAATGCATCTGGAGATCTGGGAGGCTTCTTACTGTCTGCTGACATTCAAATAATGGAGGTCCATAGCGCCCGAGGCAGAAAGGTCCATAAAATTCCTTTAAGGAGTCTTTGGGGTTGATTGAGGACACAACTGTGGCCCAATAATAAAAGTAATCCTCAAAAATACAACTTGCCAAATAATGCTGCACACAGTGTATATATATAAATATATATATATATATATACACTGTGTGCAGCATTATTTGGCAAGTTGTATTTTTGAGGATTATTTATATTATTGGGCCACAGTTGTATAAAAGCCACAGTTATATAAAAGTCAAGAATTCTGACTTTTTTCTCATATTAAAATGAAATAAAATATCTTCAGTGGCTCTAATCTTCTTCCGTAAGAAGAAATAGAGGAGGATGTTTTTTTGTTTTGTTTTTTTTTTAATCTGAACCAAACACTGGGGATATTTTTTTCTGTACGGCTATATGATGATGTGTCACTTTATCTTATCTGTGAACTAGTTTGTAATTTGACTAAAATGTGTTGTATTTATTCTATCGTTAAACACCAGGTGCATAGATTACTACACAAAAGTGTATGTTTAAAGCCTTTAGTCCATGCAATTTGGCTGCTTTGTCACAGCTAAGCCCGAAGCTTATGTCCTAAAACAAATATGAATGGAGAGAAAAAATTCCGGATGCGTTTAACCTAACCCACCCATTTTCCTTATTTGCATATAGGCAAATTACACATACCGAGAATGCTCTTTATTCCCTGTTCTTTCGTCTTTTTGTTTTAAGACAGTGATATTTTCTTTAATGTATAAGGATAATAGTCCAAGGAGGTAAATATTGATTTAATTGATGAATTTCCTTACAACAATTAGTGAATACAAGGGTTAAAAAGCCAAACCTGCTCTCTATCTGGTATGACCGGAAGTAGTTTTTTTTTTTTTTAAATAAGGAAGATATCACACATCAGTTAGATGTAAGTTCCTGAAACGACGTGGAGTCTATCTTAACTTTTGGGTTTCTTATGATCTTTTTTCGTTGAAGCCGAACCGACAAAGCCACCTTCTTTTTTTCCCGTTAGCTGCGCAGCTGCGACGGGACTGCTGAATAACTAAAGAGCGAAGTTGACGCTAGCAGAGTCGCTCAAATAACGGACTAGCCTGTTAGCTTTTCCCAGCTGCTCCAACTCGAAGCAGAAGTCAACCATTAACCGGACATCGTTATCGAAATGAGTTTCATTCCATCTGGAGTTTATTCAGTTAACGGTTCGGGTTGCTCGCTCCTCTCTCCGTGACGCTAGGTGAGAACTGAGCTTGTTTTTTGTTGTCTTACTTTAGTATGGCTAACTGTTATTGCTGGTAGATAAAACGCTGCGCCTTTTTTCAGAATTTCCGGAGCCGAAACGGTAATGATAGCTTCGAGATAGTAATCCAACTGTTATGTTTCATTTACTACTGCTGCTGAGTAAACCACACCTTCAAAAAAAAAAAAAAAAATCTATCCCTTTTTCCCTCCCTGGTTTAGGTTGGGCTGCTGCCACTGTGAATTAACAGCCGAACATCTGGTCCAGCATGAAGGCCATGGGCTCCAGATTCTCCTTTTACGCTGGTTTCGTGGTGGGGACTCTAACATTGTACGTGATCATGCGGCAGATGTGGTTTGAGAGGAGCCTGCAGGTCAACAGCTATGGGCAACTTAGTGACCGGCAGCAACAGTTGGACCAAGACATGGGGGTATGGAAGAAGGAGAGGTCGGCTCTGTTTAACCTGGATCACCCTCATCATTCAGGTATATGTTGCATCCAGTTGCCTAAACAACAACCTAATATTTCCCATTATCCTCACTTAGTAATTGGCATTATCCCGAATTATTCTATCCTAAAAATAAAGAGCAGTTTATTTAATGTCAGTATAAGGAAGCATTCACTTGAATTGATTATCTTTATCACAATAATTAAATTAATCCATCTATTTTTTTCTCAAATTTGTTGCTGATAGGTATAGAAATCCCTTTTTTTTTACGTGTTTTGTATAACTATCTTGAATATTACGTGCATTACTAATGATTTTGTTAAACTGATGGATCTTGTGCTTAAGTATCGGAGGTAGATTAAAGTAGAGGTGCAGAACTAGCAGTGGAAAGTGGAAGTGGAGCTGCACCATAAAAGTCCTTAAATAGTATGTTTGGTTTTGTTATTTGCTGAAAAGGTGTGCGTGAGTTTGTTCAGTAGTTTCAAGGTCCATAGAGAACACCATGGTTTAATAGTAGGCTAGCATTTCCATAAACAATTTAAAATAATATTTAAAATGCAATCTGACGTAAAAATCACATACATTTGTGTATTTTTGTTTTAAATTTGTTTAATAGACAAAATTACACCATTAATGTTTCCTTTGACTAATTAAATTGTAAAAGATTATCTTAAAGGTGGGTTCCCAAATCTACAGTTATAACTTTGTCATTTTGGTTTTTTGTTTTTTTTATCAGTAAATGTAAATAAAATAGTTTAATTATATGTTTGTCCCTATTTAGAATTAGAAGGTGGGTTAGAAGGGAAGCATTTTGTCCCTTCTTTAAATTTTCTTAATATGGATGACTTATCAAAGTATTTACATAACCCTACAGCAGATTTTTTTGCTTTTGGGACCATAACTAAAGACCTTATAGTGGGTTATTTTTTCGTCCTCGTAGTACTAGTCAACACAATCTTCTCAGGATATGGTCAGGAGTTTGACATCATGTGCAACGCATGAAAAAGTAATACAATGATTACAAAAAGCAGGGAGGTTCTGAAACTGGTAATACCTGATGTCTTACTCTGGTACCATTCTCAAGAGTGTCCTGTTGAAATATCTGGCAAATTGATCTGAGCATCTGATGGCATGGAAATTTACAGATGAGAGCTATGTTCGCTACAAACAAAATTCCTTGATGAGGTTGAAATGTGTTTGGTTTAAAAGGAACAAAACAAACAAAAAACCCATCCAAATACAGTTTGTAATGGCACAAAATAAAATCATTGGATCATGATATACATTTTTTTTATGTAGGCTTTTTTAAGAATATAAATTCACTGATGTGCTGTGTTTTGTAATTTCCCTAAAACAATCAAGGGAGTGTCTTGGCTGTTTGGGCACTGAATAAAACAAAAACAAAAAACAAGTCTAAAGTTCATTTCTTGATATGTTAAATGAACCAAAGAACCATTTTTCAGTTTTCGCTCAGTTCCATGTCTGCGCGCATGCTCGGATCCGTCTCTGCTCACGCTCGACCTGCTCTCTCCGCGCTCAACACCAGCTTTGCGCTCGGCCGTCTCTCCGCTCGCTCGACTCTGTCTCTGCGCTCGCTCGACTCTGTCTCTGCGCTCCCGAATTCATAAATGTATGTAAATAAACCACACCATCAGCCAATCACGCCCAGCTTTTTTCATCCAATCAAAGTATTCATTCCAAATACTACACCTGGTTAAATGGGAGAAAAAAAAAACACAATCAGGGAATGAAACAATTCTTTTAGTTATGCGGTCAACACTCAATTTGATGGACAGCAGATAGTACTGTAAAATATCTTGAATTATCTCAAATAAATGTCAGTAAAACAGGTATTTGATCATCACCTCATCCACCTTTTTTTCTGCTATTGAGATGGATTTGATTTAGCTGTTAAACAGAAATTAGGAGGATATTTCAGATTGAAGTATGGTTCAACAATATTTAGATAAAAATATTTTAGATATGGGTAAATTTTTAGGGATGCTTCAAAATATTCCAATATTAGGAATGGTGTTTCTTTTTAGTTACAGAATTTTATTTTAAATCAGGTAAAATAATCAGTGTTGGAATTCAGCCTCCAAAGGAGAAATGTTTGTGATCATATTGGCCTTAGAATGGATTGAAGAAATTGTTCCATTAAGAAGTTTAATTTGCTCTGATTCTAGTTCAGCGTTATAGTCATTTAAACGCAATGATTCAGTCAGCGGACAGTAGGATATATTTGCTTCAGTCCCGATCCAGTTGTCTGCCAACCGCCATATTTACATACATTTATGAATTTGCGAGTGCAGAGACGGAGTCAAGTGAGAGGAGAGACAGCCGAGCGCACAGCTGGTGTTGAGCGTGGAGAGAGCAGGTCGAGCGCGAGCAGAGACGGATACGAGCATGCGCAGACATGGAACTGAGTGCGACGACAGTGTGTTGAGAAGAGTTTTTCAGAGTTGAGCGTGCGTGTGTGTTGTCTCACTGCGTGCTCGGATTGGTTCCTGCATGCTCAAACCGAAGGCACAAATATCCGTCCACACAATACCTGCTCGACACTCTGGAGCCATTGCATTGCACTCATTGCACTGATTTTGTGCAGTATTTTTTATGTAAGGCCTTTCAGAATTTATAACGCAGGGACATTATTTTTCAGTGAATGAGGTTTTCATAGGCCTAGGTGGAGTACAACTTTTCTACTTCTGCTATTTGCTGTTGTTTCTCAAATAAAAAGCATAAAGATATTACAGCTTTCATTGATTCATTTCAAATTTGAAACATTGTCTAGCCTGTAAGGTAAAAAAAATAAAAATGAGAAATGAACCAATTAATCTAATCAAATTGTATTGTGGTGTATTCTTGAGTATCGAAAATAATCGAATCGTTGTACACATTCATGTAAGCATTACTTCTAAATTGCAGGACATTTTTTAAAATTCCAGTAATTAAACTCAACGTGTAGGAGTAAAATAAATGTTTTGGTATAAAGTTTGTCTGTTAAAACAGCCATCACCTATCTCTGGGAAAAAAAGTTTTGCTTGAGGTGACAAGCCCAGCCCTATTGATGCCTCAAGGCAGGAACAAACAGATGGCGTTTATGTTTGGACAAGATTCCTTCATATACACTATATTGCCAAAAGTATTTGCTCACCCATCCAAATTATTGGAATCAGGTGTTCCAATCACTTCCATGGCCACAGGTGTATAAATTCAAGCACCTAGGCATGCAGACTGTTTTTACAAACATTTGTGAAAGAATGGGTCGCTCTCAGGAGCTCAGTGAATTCCAGCGTGGAACTGTGATAGGATGCCACCTGTGCAACAAATCCAGTCGTGAAATTTCCTAGCTCCTAAATATTCCACAGTCAACTGTCAGCTGTATTATAAGAAAATGGAAGTGTTTGGGAACGACAGCAACTCAGCCACGAAGTGGTAGGCCACGTAAACTGACGGAGCGGGGTCAGCGGATGCTGAAGCGCATAGTGCGAAGAGGTCGCCAACTTTCTGCAGAGTCAATCACTACAGACCTCCAAACTTCATGTGGCCTTCAGATTAGCTCAAGAACAGTGCGCAGAGAGCTTCATGGAATGGGTTTCCATGGTCGAGCAGCTGCATCCAAGCCATACATCACTAAGTGCAATGCAAAGCGTCGGATGCGGTGGTGTAAAGCACGCCGCCACTGGACTCTAGAGCAGTGGAGACGCGTTCTCTGGAGTGACGAATCGCGCTTCTCCATCTGGCAATCTGATGGACGGGTCTGGGTTTGGCGGTTGCCAGGAGAACGGTACTTGTCTGACTGCATTGTGCCAAGTGTAAAGTTTGGTGGAGGGGGGATTATGGTGTGGGGTTGTTTTTCAGGAGCTGGGCTTGGCCCCTTAGTTCCAGTGAAAGGAACTCTGAATGCTTCAGCATACCAAGACATTTTGGACAATTCCATGCTCCCAACTTTGTGGGAACAGTTTGGAGCTGGCCCCTTCCTCTTCCAACATGACTGTGCACCAGTGCACAAAGCAAGGTCCATAAAGACATGGATGACAGAGTCTGGTGTGGATGAACTTGACTGGCCTGCACAGAGTCCTGACCTCAACCCGATAGAACACCTTTGGGATGAATTAGAGCGGAGACTGAGAGCCAGGCCTTCTCGTCCAACATCAGTGTGCGACCTCACAAATGCGCTTCTGGAAGAATGGTCAAAAATTCCCATAAACACACTCCTAAACCTTGTGGACAGCCTTCCCAGAAGAGTTGAAGCTGTTCTAGCTGCAAAGGGTGGACCGACGTCATATTGAACCCTATGGATTAGGAACGGGATGTCACTTAAGCTCATATGTGAGTCAAGGCAGGTGAGCAAATACTTTTGGCAATATAGTGTAGCTAAAGAGACTTTCTGAAATGCATCCTTTTATTACAGTCCACAATACAGGGGTATTAATACATTGCTTGACACTACAATGTTTAATAATAATTGTAATTAGCTTCTGAATATACCATTTTTTTATATTTAAATGTTCACAATTGTGTTCAAGAGCGGCATCGTACCAGAGAGCTGAAACATTTTTATCACATTTTATATATGTTTCAATTACGCATGATATAAGCCAGCAGTTAATATATTTTTCAGCAAACAATCTTTTAAAAAATTAAAAGGCAAGGGCTTCATTTTCAGTTTCAGGTTTTGCTTATTAAAAACCTGAAAATAATGGAATGTAAATCACCTAAACACACCCATGCTTGTTCTGTCTTTTAAGTCATGCCTGAGTTGTTATGAGTTTATGATCATTATAGAGGGAGTGTATGGATAAATGCTAAACACCTTTTTGGTGGTGGCTTAAGTAAAACAAGGACTTAAGAGCTGAAAAAACATAAACATGCATGTATTTGTTTTTCAGTGACTTAATTTTAAGCATATAATCAGGACCTGGTGTGTTGATCCATGAGCTTTGTTCGTTTTACACATACAGAGAGCTGCAAGATTATCCCTTATGTGGATATGGATCATTCTGATGTACAGTGGGTACAGTATTCAGACCACTT